CTATAGAGCATTCTATCAACTGTAGAAATGCAATTTTACTACCATTCGATTCGTCTTAATGAGCTGATTCAATGAGCTATAGATCGTCTTGATTGGATCAGTAGATAGCGAGATATTCTTAAATTACTATAATTATTCAAATTTAAAAGCGTAAACTTTTGTAATATTACGTTTTTAGTGTAATATTTCAAAATTTTACACTACTTCCGAAATATTACACTAAATTATGCTTAAACAAATTTTCTGATGAACGTTCTGATTAAAATAATTAAAAAAAATGTTATTTTAGAATGGTTTTTAACATTCTAAATAAAAAATGAAATAAAAAAATCAATCAAAACGTTAGCCAACGTTCTGATTAAAATAATTAAAAAAAATGTTATTTTAAAACGTTTTTTAACATTCTGAATAAAAAATGAAATAAAAAATCAATTGGAACGTTAGCCAATGTTCCGATTAAAAAAAATTAAAAAAAAATTATTTCAGAACGTTAGCTAATGTTCCAATTAAAAAAAATAAAAAAAAATATATTTCAAAATGTTAAAAAATGTTTCATTAATAATTTTAATGAAAAATCAGAATGTTAGCCAATGTTCCAATTAAAAAAAATGAAAAAAAATGAAAAAAATTTTTTAACGTTTCATTAAAAAATGAAATAATCAGAACGTTAGCCAACGTTCTGATTAAAAAAAAGATGAAAAAAAATTTTTGAAAAAATAAAATAAAAAAAATCGGAACATTAGCTAATGTTTCGATATAGTACTTTTATTTAAACTAATAATTAATAACTTATGATTAATAATTTAATACCAGAATTTATAGTTTAGGTAGTATTTGTCAAATATAATCAAATAAATAATGAGATTACTGTATTTGACATACAAATTTTTTTTTTTCATTTTAAGCCACAAATAAGTAAAATCAGAATTCATAAGTTATTTATTTTGTTCATTTGTATAATCTGTATTCCAAACAAATATGTTAAGAAGAGCCTTTTGTAGAAAAATAATACTGGTTTGTAATTTCTAAGAATTAAAAACAAAGAAAAGAATATATTAGTTGTATTTAATATATCGACTTAATCAATCACTTACAGATATCAATATCTATAATAAAATTAATCATTTTAATTTTGCAAAAAACAGAAGTCTACTCTTCTTTCATATTTCACTTTAAATGACAAAGCTGAAGCTAGCGCAGAGAAAGCCTTTGCTATCTATAGAAATGATGACGAAAAGCTTGATTATTTAAATAAAGTTTGATTTATATATTTTTCATTTCTATTAACATTTTTTATTCGTTTATATTCTAATGGTATTATCATATAACATTATACAGTAAATAAGAATTCTGACTTACCTAAAAAGTCTTACTCAAGTGACTCAACTTCAGTCAACAGTTTGTAATTTATACTAATATTCTATATTTTAATATATAAGTATGCTGAAATTACTAATCTTATTACAGATAGCAAAATGTTTGAGAATGAGTCTGAAGTAAAGCTTAATAAAAAGTATGTCAAAAAAATTTAACTCCAAAAATGCAGTTCTCAAAAAGTTTGTTCAGAAACTAGATTTTAAGTAACTTGAGAAATACACGCCATTATAAGACAAAGACATAGAGAAATACAACACAGTTTGATCTATATATATATGAATTATATATATCTTATATATCTTTATTATCATTTCACAGAATTTGCTGGGCTTGATTTCACTTGGCCTCTGCAAGCTGTATCAGTGAGCACCATATTATATATATATGATTACATCACTAATCCCGATTCTTGAAGTATAGTGAACATGCTTATATTACTTTGCTGATCATTTGCTGATCACTTTTTTTTTTATTATAAACATTAAAAATTTAAAAAAAGTATAGCAAAGTAAATAGATAAAATTAGATGTGAAACCATATTATTCCATACTTTAAATCAAATAAATTTTTAATATAGTTTTTAATTTTTTATATGATAAATCATTAATATGTGATAATTTGAAGGTTGAGACAAAAATTGATGACCAGAGCCAAATATGCAAGGCCGGAACTTAAAACTTTGCACAGACACTCTTTATATTATATGTAATTTATGACAAAAATAATCCAATATTTTGGTCCATAATCCAGGTTTTTTGCTTATAGAGAAATTGGTGAATTTTAATAATAAATAATATCAATGCCATGAAATTCAATAGATAAATGCCACAAAACTTAATAAACAAATGCCACAAAATTTAGTGAACAAATGCCATATTAATTATGTAGAATTTTTCAATAACAGCATTTATATTATGTGACAAGATTGAATAAATATTCGAAAAATGATCGGCAAATGATCAGTAAAATTGTGATAAATAGGGATGTCCGCTATGCTGCTCCCTGGTTCGTAGAAGGACAAGGAGAGGAGCTTGCCACTAATACGCTTGAATATTATCACCTTATCGGGTCTAAAAGTCTTGATTTATCTAGAGGAAGTCATATCCACATTGTAAAAGGGAAGTTAATAGGTTATGGAGATGAACTATCTGGAGAAGAACATGAGAAACTCAACAAGAAAAACCCTGGTATGATTTATGCTCCTATCAAACAAAAGTCAGTCGTAATTAGATTCTCTTCAACCGCAAATGTGACCTTGAAGGAATGGCAGGTTTGTGTTGCTTTTATATGCAATTAAATATTGGGCTTTGTTAGGAATTTGCTTTTGCCAAATTATCAGGTGCACCTGCGAATTCGAAAAAAAGATGATCCCACGAATGAAGTTGCAATGATGGCCAATGTCCTATATAGTCACACCCTTCGGGACCAAAAAAAATTGGTGTGATTATAAAAATACTATATGATGTGACTAAAGAGGGTTTTTTTTTAATAAGCTTATTAGTAACTTGGGCCAATGTAAATGTGCTTATAAGGGGAGGATGTGACTATATATGCCGACTGTAATCGAAACTTTCGCCTTGTGGTCGACTCGGGGTCAACAATAACCATCATACTCACTTCATAAGACAGAAGATGAACAACAATAATGGATGGATTGATGGAATACATTCCCATCCGAAGCCAGTGGCTACGGGGAAATGTGGATATGTGTATAATTATATGTCAAAAAAAAAAAATCATTATCAAATTTTATATCAGACTTTGCGATACAAAATAAACTATGTAATGCGATTAATAAAATAAATATTATTAGTTAATTAAATGTAGTGAATGTACAATATGAAGAAAATTTTATATATTTGATTTACTGTATTTAAAACATTTTGTATAAGGGCGTAGTAATGTGACACAATAAATCTATTATCGATACACGTTTACTTTACGGGCTGTAATGATCAATAAGCAGGAAATCAAGTGTATGATGATGCAATCCTGGCGGATTTACTAAGGATACTTTGCGTAAAAAAACTTAAAGGGCTGTGAAGATTTTTAAGTTGTTTCGGAGAATTGGAGCGGATAAGATTAAACGGGTTATATCATATAGTGCAAATGAGCATTTTAGTCACGTGAGTACTGTACCACATGTTATTAATTGGTTATTTATGTATTTTATTATATAAAAATGTAAAGAATATAAATTGAAATCATGATCAGGTGATTTTCATCATAAATTTACATAAGGATATTAAATATGTAATATGAAGAAGGGTAAATTTACATAAATTTAAGGTAGTTTTCGAATTATAATGGGTCATTTACGTATCATAATTCATTTGATTATTGACCTTATAAATTGCTTTATTCACTAAAGTTATAAAAAGTTACACATAAACTTTTCATCTAGAAGTTAAACTAGGAAAGTTACTATATTGTCGATATGAGAAAAAATCATGATTGAAGCAATTTTTAATTAGTAATTGAAAATAAACCGACTTATAAATGAGATTTTAACGACGACCATTTACACATCAATTTTAAACATAAGAAATTATAATAATTTAACTCTTTTCACTAGGTAAGTTAACTTTAATAATAAAGGCTGCGATTTATTGTTGTTGCTGCTTTGGTTTTCCAACCTTTAAAAATGCGCCACCTCCAAAGTATCTATCATTAGCTTCTTTTACTTTCTTTTGTCTCTCCTCTGGGTTGATAAGTTCAATTCCCTGTACAGGAGTGAATGCAAGAGATGATGATAAACCTGAAGTAGCTCCAGAAGAACCCAGAAATTGGTGTCTTTTAGGCGCTTTAGCTGAACATTAATTGAAAAAAATATATATACATATTTAAACCGTCTGTTTATCAAGAACTATATATACAATAATGTTATTTAACATACCTTTGACTCTAGGATCGGCTACTGAAGCCCGAATTTTACCCGAATTTTGCCCAATTAAACCTAAACCTTTTGTTTTGTCAAATGACCCAGTTTCATCCTCTGCAACACCAAAGGCCATTCTATTTTGGGCTTTACGCAATTCTGTAACTGCATAAGCTTCTTTCATTCGTCTTACTCTAAATAAAATAATCTTGTTCATTAATACCGTATGAATAATAGATTTTTAATCCAATTCATAATATTTATAAAGCTTACTTCTTTCCCGCTCTTCTTTTTTTTGGACCTTCATCAGGTACAGGTAAGGGCTTGACAGTCTTAGTAGGAGGCGGTTCTTGTAACTTTTCAAGTTTTTTATCAATTTGTTCACGTAGGTTTCTTCCAAATGAACCTTAATAATAAATGTCGATAAGAAACCCTATATTTAGTAGCTAATTGGTATTTAAACATACCATCAGGTGATTCATGCACTCGATCCATTCTGGCAGCCAAAGTGCACCTAAAAAAATCCGACGTTAAGAAATTTTATATAAACAAATATGACTAATAATATATTTCTGAAACAAACTTCGCTGCAACAATCTTTTGTGCTTTAATTCTGAGATCTTGCGGAGTCCTCTGGATCAATTCTGATTGAAACAAATATCCGGTATGTCTAGGCGTTGATGCACTAGAAAATCCGGTACTAGTCTTCTTTTGTACACCAAGCAGCTAATAAATACAATATTTAAAGAATTCAATTTAGCAATATTAGATTGGACTAGGTTTCAAAGCTAAAATACATACCATAACGTTGCAAGATGGCATTTTGCAAAGGGCCAATAATCCACCAGCCTGTCCCAGCATTTTAGCTGCAGTTGTACTTCCTACAATTGCTGAAAGGTTAGGCGCAATGAGCGTCATTCTAGACTCTACATATTCTAAAATCTGTAATTTAGTAAAATAATTAGTATATGTAAAATTCTTTACTAATTAATTAATAAACATACAAACCTTTCTTTTAGCAGCATCCAATTCCAATGCCATATCGCAAGCGTCACTAACAATCATACTTTCTTCATCAGTTAACTTTTGACCGTTAGTAGTAGATCCTGTAACAGTAACTACCATAACGGTGGCGGAGGGTAGAATAGATCTTAAATCTACTTTAGTTAAATCCTATTATAATGGGAAAGGTCCAATAGCAATAACGGTCGAGGTTGGTAGCTATTAAAAGAATAAAGATCATAATTTCCTGCTATATTGAACTGGTTAGGTACACTAGGTAGTATCTATAAAATTACTAACCATTTCGTTTCCTATAGCCTTGACGGCTCTGGTGTAATCTAACGGATTAAGGACCAATGATTCTAATTCAGGAAATTTTTTAGCGTAATGGTCTCTTATAAACTATAAGAATAATTGGACCCCAAATAAGTAAAAGTTATTAAATCACCAAATTATATAGTAACAAATTTTTTACTTTATGAACTACTAGAATCTCGTTATCAATGTCTACAGTCAAATTATTAGCTTGAACTATAAGTTTATATTCTGGATCTTCTTCGACAGGTCCCATTATTTGTGTCTGAGAACGATTTGTATCTTTAAGTTGTTCAATTTTCTAAGTAAAGAGAGGTAAAAAAGCTAAGTAAATAGAACTAATTTATAATAAGAAAAATATATCTTAGACTAACCGTTAAGATGTCTCTCATTTGTCTAGAACTGAGTAATTTGGCTACTTTCTTCACATCTTTAACAGATTTCATTTCGACTTCACTGTTCACATTTTTGTTTTCCTCTGGTTCATCGTTCTCTTCCATGTGCTCTTCCTCTTCTAAATCTTCTAGATCTCGCATAAGAACGTCTTCAGAGTCATTATTGTCACTTTGATCGTCGTCAGCAGCTTCCTCATCTCGGGTAGATATAAAGTCGGGATCTGCGAGTAATTCGTCTGCTAAAGACATTGTTTTATTGTTCGAGTTCTAGCTTTACCCTGAAAAGAAAAATCCACCAATTTAAGTAACCATGCCGATCATACTTTATTGATAATCCGATTCCTTCCATTGGTCGGTTTTTTGTTATATCAGTTTAAGACCACTTGGGCCGATTTGTCTCACTTCAATTATGTCACCTGTGGGTTGTCGATCATTGTCACATTTATCACCATAGCTAAAGTCCGTTTATTGGTCAAATTTCACGTGCGTGGTGATCAATAAATACGAACTTTAAAAAAATTTCGTTAAAAGAATTCAAAGAGAAAAAATTTTATAATTTTAATCACACAAATTTCATAATAAATAGAATTATTTTATAAACCACTTGAAAACAACCATTATATCTATTTTTATAAAGTAAAATTGTTCAAAATGAATAACAGGAGACCGAGAAATCACGAAAACTATAAATAAATGTTATAATATGCTCAAAAATTATTATCCAAGCTTCCTATAATCCAATTTAAATAATTTTTAATATTCTAAGAGGACAAACAAGACTCTTTCTTATAATACTAAAATTATCTAAACTCAGCATGTTTATCTATAGCTATAACTCTTTAAAGATATGGTACATAATCTCATCAAGGTAGTAAATAAAATAACACAGAACGTCCAAAAAAAACCTGTAATAAAATAAATAAGAATTAAAATTACAATAATAAAAAGATTTTTTTTAAAAGCTTTAATGTTTCTAATAAATATATGGGAACGTATTATTTTTGTTTTTTTCTAACGTAATAAGAGTTATTTTTGCCATTTTACCAAATAACCTTTCTATTAAATAATTTTACAATACCACTTACCATTTCCAAAAAAAATAAATTCCTTCCAAAAAAAACCAATTCCAAACCAATTCCCGACAGGTTTTGACATTGAGAAATCAAGTTTTGCAAGCGTGCGAAGTCTTTGACAATTGGCTTAAAAGCAAAATCAAAATATACGTCATCATGCATTATTTGATATTATCACTATTTTCACTATTTTTGTATATTGACATGTCGATCAAATTCACATTTATCACTTTTATTTATTAGTGATGTGAGCCAAATCGGCCCATATGGATTTTCCTTGGTTGGAAACTTGTGATGCTCATACTCATGCTCACGACGATGTAGAGCATCTCAAGGAAATTGCTAATTTGAAAACTAACAAGATTTGTTTGATGGGGACTCGTTTAGAAGATTTGGACGTAGTTTCTAAACTTGCGACGGATTTTCAAATGAAGGTTATACCTTGTTTTGGTATCGTGTTTCTTTCGATTTATTCTATTTATAAATTATTCAATTGAAATAAGCCAAGTTTTAAGGTCTAATTATATATAAAAAAGGGTTTCATCCATGGTTTTGTCATTTACTTTCACTTGAAAATGAACCTGAAAGTAAAGTTCATTACCGTACAATTTTAAAGGATATTGGCCCAAAAGATCCTTCAAGAAGCAATTACTTAGAGGAATTCATTGATTCTTTACCATCTCCTAAGCCATTTGATGTGTGGCATAACAAATTAGAAAATTTACTTGAAACGCATCCAAATTCACTTTTAGGAGAAGTCGGATTAGACAAAACGTTTCGATTACGCGATCAAGAATCAAAACAACTTAGTAAAGTACAAACCACAATGCAACATCAAACAGCAATTCTTGAAAAGCAACTGGATTTAGCAGCTAAATATAAACGCGCTGTTAGTATGCATTGCGTTCAATCCACGGGTGCAATAACTGAATTGCTTAATAGAAGAATTAACGAACGGGAACCACTTCCACCTCGTATTTGTTTACATTCATTTGGAGGTTCTGTTGATACAATTAAATTTTTAACCAAACAGACAAAGAAAAAGGAGGGAGTTTCAGTAGATATTTACTTCTCTTTTAGTGTTGTTATTAATGGCAAATATGATAGACTACCTGATTTAATAAAAGCAGTTCCGGAGGATAGATTGTTAATTGAGACAGATTATCATTCTCCTTTTGGATTGGATCATTATATGGCTAGGATTATTAAGTTGGTGAGTGAAGCTAAAGAATGGACTGAAGCGACGACTGTTGAAAAAACGCGTAAAAATTTCATAAAGTTTGTTGGAAAGACAATTTAGAAATTGAAATTTTTTAGGGATATCCACATTTAATTTAGTGTGAATCAATTTTATATTTTATAATCTCTTTTTACAATTTCATCGAATTTGTTTTTATCAGCTACAAAATATTTTATGTAGTCAGCTTCTAAAATATGCATTCTATTTCCTACTATGATAAGAGAATGTAATGGAGGACCAAAATCTTCAGATAATAATTGATTTAATGTACCAGCTTTAATTATTTGTTCTGTTAAAGAACCAAGACGCGCAATACCTATTGCCAGAGTTTCAGATGTATAGGCTATAATTTAAAAAAGAAAAAGTCTTAGAATACTCTTCTCTTTCAAAGAAAATTTCAATAGGAATGGATTAATATTAAAAAATACCATTTTGTTTGCGATTTTCTTCGATTTCCAGTAATTGCATAATTGCTTGGTTGATAGTCATATAACGTGGAAATTCATATATTTTCCTACCTCTGAACGAGAAAAATATTAGAATAATTTTTTTTAAAAAAACTTTTTTTAATATACGAGCATAAATACCTTGCTAAATTTTCTATACTTTGTTCTTTTACTTTAATATCTAGTAAACAAAGAGTATGTAAACCTAGATTTCTATTCTCTTTAATTCTATCATAAAAACTATCAGGCCTCCAATTATCGGTAAAAAAAGGTATAGAAATAGTTTGACCAAAATTATATAATTGTAATCCACAAGCACCAACTGCATTCATTATTGAAGCATTATGTATTGTTTGGATTGGAATTAATAGTTCTTTTGCCCTTATAATTAAATCCGCATGTGTCGTTGCGCTATCCATATGATTTATTAGAGACTTATAGATTTCTATTAATAATTCGATCATAAGATAACAAGGAAAATAATCTTACCCAAACGGATCTCCTACCACTAAAAATGCTACATTTATTTTATCGGCATTTAACAAGATGTCATCACTTTGTGACTCTACCATTTCTCTATCTGCTAATATGAGCTTTTTTCCATATAATTCTTCCTAAACAAAAGAAATAAATTTAAACCGAAGTTATCTCGAAGAAATTTAACAGTGATAATTACCAATTTCTCTTGGGACACCATTAAGATACTGGTATATGCCTCTAAATATATTCGTTCGCATGATTTTATTGCTTCAAGACCTTTTATCGTAATATCTTTTTCATCAGATAAACCTAAGCCTATTATAAAAAGCATTTTCAAGAGAGAAAGAAAGATAGATCAACTCTCAATTGATCGCCTATAGGCTATAGTCCTTTTTTGGTAAATTTCACAACGCTGCATTACGCATATCAAAAAAAAATATATATGTGTATGTATGTATATATAAATTCGAATAAATATGTCCAAAAGTTCCGAAACTGTCGATAATAACGGATTTATTATACCGAATAATGATCAAGACCCCGTAGTGGATTCACCAGCAGAGAGGTGGCTTAATTGGTTAGGTCAAACGAATTTAGGTAAATGTTCGACAGTGATAACGCTATTATTTGGAATTTATGTAAGGTGGAACGTAGGTTTAAATCCATACTCTGGTAAGTTTAATAATATAATTCCGCGAAATACATTCTATTCATTTAAATGGCGAATTAATTATATTTTTAACGCATTAAAAGGTCAAAATATTCCGCCTATGTATGGAGATTATGAAGCTCAAAGACATTGGATGGAATTAACATTACATGTTCCAATGAATCGGTGGTATTACTATGATTTGGAATGGTGGGGTCTTGATTATCCCCCATTAACAGCTTACGTTAGCTGGATCTGTGGTAAAATGTATGAATTTTTTTGTAGTATACGCATTTATCATAGTCTTGTATACTTTAAATTTTATATTATACCTTATTATTTTGATGTTGTAGAGGATCTATGTTTAATCCAGAATGGTTTGCACTAGATGTGTCACGTGGATTTGAAAGCGAGGAAAGTAAATTGTTCATGCGGTCTTCCGTATTGATCCTTGAATATTTGATATACGTCCCATCAGTTATTGTGTTTGTAAATTGGTGGCTTGCCAGTAAATCATGGCAAAAGCGCGTACGTACTTTAAAGTTGTATATTTTTCTACATTAAATATTATATTGATTTTTTATCATTTTTATTAGAGATTAGCAGTATTATTTATTCTTCTTCAGCCTGCTTTAATATTAATAGATCACGGCCATTTTCAGTAAGTTATTTTGTTTTATTTTAAAACCTTTCATTGATATTCTCAACTTTGTTTTTTTTTTTGATATAGGTATAATTCTGTAATGCTAGGACTTACAGTATGGTCATTGAATTGCTTTTTCTATGAATATGACGTTATAGGAAGCGTTGCCTTTTGTCTTGCGTTGGGGTTTAAGCAAATGTCACTTTATTTCTCTCCTGCTATTTTTGCTTATTTATTAGGAAAATGCATAAAAAACAAACCCCAAGGGTAAAGTCATAATTTCACATATTTAAACTTTAAGTTTCATGTTTATTGTTTAATCCCTTCTCAAAATCAATTATTAGATTTATCCTTTTTGTAAAGTTAGGTGTGACAGTGATTATCACGTTTGCTATCATGTTTTTCCCTTTTTTAGATTCGGTTGAACATATTTCGCAAGTTATTATTCGTATGTTTCCTTTAAACCGTGGATTGTATGAAGATAAGGTGGCCAACTTTTGGTGTGCTATAAATATTATCATCAAGTTACGCGAAATGTTTGAAATTCATGTATTAACAAGAATAAGGTAAGATTTTATTACGGTTTAATATCTTTTGTTTCTTCATCAATTGTTATAGTTTATCGTATTTTATTATTTAGTTTATTTGCAACTCTGCTAGCTATTCTACCGTCGTGTATAAACCTTGGTTTAAATCCCGATAAACATCGACTTGTTTATTGTTTAGCGAATTCCGCGTTGGCTTTTTTTATGTTTTCTTTCCAGGTTCATGAGAAGTCTATATTATTGCCCGCATTACCGATTACACTATTGATTTTAGATGAACCATTCTGGAGTAGTTGGTTTAATAATGTTGCTTTATTCAGGTGTCGTAAATCTTATATAAAGGGTTAGGAAAATTGGTTTTTAAATTATTGACTTGTATTATTTTCCGGTACAGCATGTTTCCTTTGTTGAAAAAAGATCGGTTGATTTTACCTTACTTTGTTATATGGTTTATGTGGAACTGGATGGGATCTTTTGTTCAACGAGACGTGAAACCAGTAGTATTAAGATATATATCTTGGGTAATGACTATAATATTTGTAATTTTTAAAGAGAAATCTGATTAAACTTTTTTTTAAACTGCATATGTTTCAACAATAGGCGTCATATCTCGTGATGGCTGTAATTCATTTCTTTGATTTTAATATCGATCCACCAAAAAGATATCCCGACCTTTATATTGTATTAAATGTTACCTTTAGTTCTGGGATACATTTATTTATGCTATTATACTTTAATTATAGACAAATAACTTTGCCATATAATCTAGATGAGAAAAAGGACAAGAGGAAGGCCGAATAAGTTATGTTGTATAGTACTATAATGGTATCTTAATGAGAATTACTGGTTAATTCCTTTAATTTTGATTTATTCTTTTTTTCGATTGTGTTCTTAATAAAAATTGATATAATAAAGGTGAGTTGTTCTCTTTATCCAATATGTTTCTCGCTAAAATGTTAATAAGTTGAAGCGTGAATAAGCACTTATCGAACAAACAGAAAAATGTTACACATATTTTTCTGGCTATGATTAGTGCGATATAAAAGCAATATTCTTATGGCAAAAATATCAGGGCCCTTATTCATGAGATTTTGAATAATTGGGTAGTGTTCATTTTTTGCACAATTCTGTAATTTATAAGGCTTCCTTTCGTTAAAGACGCGTCGTGAAATGTCACGTGTTGTGTGTAATAATACTTGGGAGTCCCAATATTTTTTTCGGTAATGATCGATTTTTCCATAAAAAGGTACACTTTAATTAAAAATTACCCTCGTCCTTCTTACAACTTTAAAACTGGAGATGGAAATAAATTCGTTTTTACATAACGAAACACGGCTTTTAGTTATTAGCAACGAGATAGTACAAATTACATTTAGATTGCATAATGAGTAAATCTGGTCTTTTAGTTCGTTGATATGAGATATTTTTGAAATTAGAGTATTTATTAAAAAAAAAATTATTTTGATAGATCAGATAATTCACTCTATATAGAGAACAATGATTTACAAGAGGAAATAAAAGTATGTCAAGGTCTTTACAATTTATTATAATAAAATAAATAAATATTTGCAAGCTTAAGTTACATTGGTCTGTTATTTTCTCTTTTAAGCAAATAATAGTAGCTTTTGTGAAATTTATGGACGAAGATCATATTGTTGATGGTGAAGGATATTATTTGCTTTGCAGTAGGTATTATTTCTTTGTATTTTACCTAACTTAATTTTCTAATAAGCAATTCTTGTAATAGAAAAGAATATTTGGAATTTCGGAAAAAATTGCGTTTTCTACAGAAATGATCAAATAATTCCACCACATCAATATAAATTTAATTTCGAATTGGAATTCGCTAGTCAAGTAATTAACAGGTATTGACGTAATTATTTTGAAATTTTCATATTTTAAATTTACTGTTAATTTTACATGTTATGTATCGTCAGGAATGCTAGCTACGATAGGGGCAGAAATAAAAGTATTACTGATAGTAATAAGAAAAATAATTCTAATTTGCGAGGAGTATCTTTGGATGATTTTGGAACGCCTAAGAGTAGTAATAATACAGTTAATCAAGAGATGATACAGCATATGACAACAAGAGCAAGTATTTCACCGCTTGAGAATTGGGATGTGAGACAAGGAGCTACGACAACCGAATTTGATTCATTTGATTCGCCATTTGACAATAAACAATCCAAATCAAGATTTGTTGAGAGTACTCCCGCAACATTATGGGTAAATCGACAAAGATCTGTAGATAATGCATGTATAACACCGTTAGATAATCGGAGACCCGTGCAAAAACCAGTAGACAGTGCATACGCGACATTATTCAACTATTGTGGACCTATTCAGAAGTCCACGAAAAACGTGTATATGACACCGATCGATAATCGAGGGCAGAAATCTCGTATTTCTTCGTTTACAAATAGAGAATACCCAGAATCGATGCAACAAAATAGTAAGGGTTTATTCGGATATCAAGAAATTCTAGACAATGTTGGAGCTGTCTCTTATACACATCTAGATGTGTATAAGAGACAGCTTATGAACAGGTCTGATTCTTTAAAATATGTTTTATAATATATTTTTTTTTTGTTTTTATGAATTAGAATTAATTATGCAAATCTAATTAATTAGACATCCAGAACATCGTCTATAAGATTATCTCAGGAATCCTTTACAGGAAGTAATTGGCCAAGTCAAAGTTCGTTTGAAACTACGCTATCATTAGATTCTGGATCACAGAAAGTTTCTGGCATTTCAAAATCACCATTCCAAACGCTAAGACAAATGTCGAGTGTATCTAATGGTACGGATGATTTTAGTAATTATTCTTTTGGTGATGAGGGTGAATTATCGATGCGGAATACAGCGGACAATCTCTTGTCAAGTGAAAGGAATAATAATCGGGAAACAAATGACGATCTTGAAGATAACAATTTTTTTAGGTAATAAAAATGGGTGTAATTTGTCACATGTAATTATAACTAATTTTGCTTTTTTTTATAGTCTCTTCAACCCTTTGAACTACTTTCGAAAAATGTTTCCAGGAATATAAAGTATATAATATGTTTATTTTTAGATATCTCCAAAATTATTATTAATGGTAATTTGTGTAAAAAAAAGTGTAAAATTATTTACAAATTGCATAGAATGTACTCATTATAGGCTTGCATTTATTATATATATTATTAGTATATTAGTTTAATCAACAATGTAAATATTCAATAAATTATGATCGTACCACTACCATATTTTAAGACGTTTGGATCGTCCTGCAAAACACAATAAACCAATAGCGTTTCAGTATATATACTGCGTTTTATAGCAGATCTTGCCGCAGGTCCGCAGTCGATATTAACTTGCTTTCGTTAAATATGGCGACTACTCAGTATGTACGAAGAAAGGGAGATATTGAAGAATCGAATGCAATGAACGATGATAACCTTGAAGCCACAATGCCTATTTCAATTCGACAACCTAATCCACAATTAGTTCCTATTCGCCCGCCGTCTTTGAAATCTGAATCTTCAAGGTCGAAGGTTTCAAAAATAATGAGACATGCCAACTTTTCGACAGTACCACCAAGGTCAAACTTGACGAAATTTCATAATTCAGATTTCCAAGAAGAATTTAATAGAGTAACTACCGTTAGTTATGTAAAACTAGAAACAAATAATTTTTCTCACGGAGTCAACAAGAGCAGTCAAATTATTTCGGGCACAGCTTCCGCAGTTATTCCACCGGCAGTTGTTCCGACCGTTATTACTTCAATGACACCTCCAGTTTCGCAAGCAACTACTCCCACAACAGCCATTAAAATTGAAAACACAGCGAAAAACATAGATAAGTATAAACCTTCAGTTGATTCCAAACCTTTACCTATGGACGAATCCGCAGTTGAATCAAATGTAGTTAAAACCGAAAACGATGTCCCCAATGAAGAAACAACAAAGAAACAGAAATTGGAGAATGGATTGGAAATTTTGTCCAGCAATAGACCAGAGGATCAGAAAAAAAGATTTGCTTGTCCAATATGTAACAGATGCTTTGCTCGTAAATTTAATATGCAAACTCACCAAACTACTCATGATGTTGATCGGGTGAAACCGTTTGTATGCAATTATCCAGATTGTGATCATAGTTTTACAAGAAAACATGACCTTAAGCGCCATATATATGGTATTCATGAACTTCCTGAACAAGAATTTAAATGTTCTAATTGTAGTAAAACCTTCGCTAGAAAGGATGCATGTAAGAGACATTCATATACATGTCGCGTAGTTGAAGTAAATCAAGATCAAGACGGTGTACCACCTCCTAGGAAACGTGCAAGAACTAAAATTAACAGTAAAAATAAGCCTAATGATAAAAATCTGCCAATTAGTGAGTCTGCACGTGAATCTACACAACAAGGTACTGCGGATATATTAGAAACGTTGGAAAATAAATCTATTTTCTCGAATGTTGCAACAGATATCACACTTTTAGATCAATGTACTACTTTTGGTACCATGAAAAAGTCAACAAATGGTATAATTGAAGATTCAACTTTAGATGTTGATAAATCTTCAGCCTTCTCGACGATTGAAGCAATAAATAATTTGATAGGTGAAAGGATGCCTAAAAAATCGATTGATCAAACGCACGACAAGAACGATGGATAAAACATGTACTTATAATTAACAAATTTCTTATAGGTGATTAAGATTTATCGTAATTTTTGAAATGATTTACATTTTTGGCAATTGGACAAAGATGAGATCTTGTATTTGTCAAATTCATCTTTTTAATGAGCAGAAAATTTTTTGATGTGAGGTTTCTCATTATCTTTATTAATCATTTTTCAAAATTGTTATACATAATTATTCAGTTCATTTGCTTCCAATTATCTGAATAAATATCCGAATGCAATTTGATATTATGTATATATATATGTTCATCTTTTTAAAATAAATAAATCATGCTTTATTAAGCAATATATCACGTGCTCCAATTTTATTAGTACGTAATTTGATATCATATTTTGATTTATTGATTTTTATGCAAGCTCAAGATCACCAAATCAAAAAATAACAAATAAGCCCATTTTTCTCAATATTTTTTTTTCTTTGCAATCGACTATTAACAATGACCGATATACCAAAAATACTAAAAGCAGTTCAAGATATTCAAGCCTCTTTGACTGTTTTACCTGAAATCCAAACTCATCTAGCAAAACTTACTGATGCTGTAAATGCACTACGTGGACATGATACGATTAATGTACCAACCGCGACACATTTGTTTAATAATGTGTCTGGCTCTTTTGTGTTACCAAACGTCTCTCCTGTTGTAGATTCTATCGAATCAACGGATGAAGGAGTAAACGACGGGAAAACCAAATCCTCAAAAGACAAAAATGAAAAAATCCAAAGTGCTTTCAAAAAAGAAAATCAGATGAATTCTGCAGAATCAGCCAACAAAACTAAGAAAAAATTAACTTTAAGCGAAAGAAAAAAATTAAGAAAATTGAAGAAAAAACAAGTTACTAACCAATTAAGCCCGGGAGAGTCTTCATCCAACGAGTTGGATAATAAATCAACACCGGAAATACAACCGCCTGTAGTACAGGATCAACAACTCACCAAAGATGTTGCACCATCGCGTGTAGTAGCGCGTCCCCCACCACGACTTCATGTGAGTTTTTCCTAAAAATGTTGGAGTGTTGCACGACCTTTTTCAATAAATAAATAAATAAATACATATTTGCTTTAGATGAATCGCATAAATATTGCTCCAACTGGAAATGAAAACGGAGATCGCCTTGGAACGAGATTTAATCGAGGCCAATCACATCAATCGATCGGATATAATAATCAACGCGAAATGCTTTCGGATAATTGGCAACAGGTTATTTCTACATTTGAAGAAATGAAATTAAAATCTGAGATTTTGCGAGGGATCCGTGCATTAGGGTATAATAAAATAATTCTTGTACTTCGAATATACTCTGGTATACATTAATTTATATTTTAAATAGTTATGATCAACCGACACCTATCCAGCAACGTGCAACAGTGGCGATATTATCTCGACGGGACGCTGTAATTCAAATACCTCGATTAGAAGAAAGAACTGTAACTTACATTGCTGCTCTACTTCAACAAATTGAAACACGTGACAAATCGTGTCAAGCGATTATAATCGTACATTCGAAAGACTTATGTTATGCTATTCAAGATTTAATCAATGTCGCGGGTCAATATATGCAATTTTCATGTTTGGTTTGTACTGGTGGTATTCCAATGAGAGAGGACATAGAAAAACTAAGAAATGAAGGACAACAAATTATAATCGGGACTCCGGGTTTGTTTAATAATTATAAAATTTAAATATTTAACATTAAAACTTGATTAAAATTTTTTTTAAATATCACGTGAATGAACGAAACAGGCAGACTAATTGGACTAATGGTAGATCGTAAATTCGATTTTAATCGCGTCAAAACGATTATAATTGAAGACTCTTGTATCATGTTTAACAGCAATTTTCGTACGCAAGCTTTCGACATTATCTATCAATTACCAAAAAGTGCTCAGAGGGTTTTGATGACAACAGCTACAACGTTTACTCTTGCAGACATTAAAAATAAGATAACGAAAAATACCATAATCGTCCTTAATGATGTGCATATGAGTGATGGGCTTCAACTATATTACGCAGTTGTAGAAAAAGATGATCAAAAGCTCAATGCTTTATGTGAAATTTATAAAGAAGTGAATATTCAAAAATCTGTTATCTTCTGTGATAATTCAGAACGAGTCGATTGGTTAGCTGATAAATTAGCAACATTATTTGAGAACGTGGCCGTCTATTCCATGGTATATAAATACGATTATTATTATTTAACCTTTCTTTCTTTAATACTATTTTTTTTTTTTAATTTTTATTGTTTAAGCATTCTTTAACAAGACAATCAGAAAGACATGAAATTGTAAAGTCTTTCTGGGAATCGAAAGCGGCTTTAATTGTTACTACAGATTGTTTTTCATCTGTTTTAGCATTTCATCCCGTAGATTATAGTGTACACTTTGATTTACCATATAAAAAGGAAGAGTACCATGATCGGTATTTATTTAAGCTTTACCTAATATATGATTTCTAATCTTTTGTCATATGGTCTTATTAATATCATTTTAATTTTTGAAGTCTTTGTTGTTGTGGTGCTTATGGTTCTCCGGGAGTTGCTATTAACATTCTCGTTAAAGGGCAATTACATGATCTTGGAGTTCTTGAGCGTTATTATCGATTACAAAGTCAAGAATTGCTGGTAACAAATTATTTTTATCAATAAATTTTTAATAAATTTCACTTTTTAAATTCTAATTTATAATAGGGAAATCGTTGACATGAATATTGCATATAATACTATTGCTGTTTCCGGTTAAAAAAGTATATTATTATATCAATATCAATATTTCATTTATATATTTCATTTATAAATTAGTTGTATTTGCTATATATAATCAATCCAAATAATAAAGTCATTTTTTTATCGCTTCAATATTATATCAAAAGATTTTTATGTTATCGAAAAATAATGCAAAAAGGAAGATGAGCTATGCATTTAATAACAAGTCTCAATATATTAATTTCTCAATTCTCAAAACGTTAAATTTTTGTCAATTTATCATGCAACTTGAGTAAAATCTGATATTCTAAATTATTTTTTCATTTTAAAGACAACTAATAATATTGGTCTAGTAATTGTAAACTATCACAAGATTTCTAAATTAGTCATTAGCATTATCTTATCTCATCTTTATGTCGTCTCCATAATTCATAATTAAGAACAGAATTACCATGTCAAATAAAAATATAAACGATGTTTGCGAAATCTTAGGTGTTGAATCTGGAAGATCAAACTCTTCCGATAAAAAACTTAGTTTGGTTGAAGCTATAAATGCTAAAAAAGAAAAGGAGAGAAAAGAGAAAAAAGTTGAGAGAAAGACTTTTAAGGGTAAAATATGTTGGGTTTCACGTAATTTTTATACTTTAATGGTTTATTTATTATCTTAAATATTAATAGATACACCAGTTAGTCGAGAACTGTCTGCGCTGGTTGGACATCATGTTTCAGTAGCTTTTGAAAGAGCAACTGCTCTAAAAGCGAAACCCAATCTACATAAAACTGTGGGCAAATGGTAATTAAGAAGTGAGATATGTAAATAATATATAATATTTAACATTGCTTTTCTTTCTACATTAATAGGATATCAACAAAATTTATAAATCCTGCTAGGAATGATGATTTAATGTTAAGTCATTGGGTGAAGGAGAATACAGAAGAAGGTAGAGAATAATTCGTTCTATCTGTACTGGTGGAATTTAAAGACTAATTTTTTTTCTTTAATAGAAGCAATTAATTTTGCAGAATATAATAAAACAGTAGAGGTTTTAGAGTATTCAGAAGAAGAATACGAAAAGTATTTGAAAGGTATAACAATCAAATAGAATTTAAATTAGTTCCTTATTAATTTTGATACTTTATTGGCAGATCGAGATTGGGATAAAGACGAAACTGACTATCTATTTGATTTGTGTCGAAAGTATGATATCAGATGGACTGTAATTCACGATCGTTACGAATGGAAAGATAAGAACAGAACAATGGAGGTATGAATTCTATATTTATTTAAACGTATATTTATTTAAACGTATTCGCAAATTAATATTATTATTTGGTATTTTAGGACTTAAGAGATCGATATTACTCTGTCAATAAAAAGATTTATCAAGTACGACCAGTGACGCCTGGCTTGGCTAGTCAAACCGATAAAGGCCAATTGATTGCATTAAATAGTTATGATAAAGGTTTGTTGTAATAATTTATTATATTTACATAAGAAATAATAATATTTACTCGTTATTATTTAATTATTTTTCTATAGCTAAAGAAGAAAAAAGGAAACTTATGTTGCTTAATTTATATTCACGGACAAAAGAACAAATTGAAGAAGAGGAGGCATTACAAGAAATAAGTGATCGTATTCAAGCGAACGAAAAGAAATTCATTAGGGAAAGAGAGGCTTTGATGAAACAATTTACAGTGGAAATGGTTCAACCAAAACGCAAAAAATCACTGCTGAGTGGACCCACGACCCCTACAATAGAAGCCAGTGGTTCGGGTTTTCATAATACCGCTGATATACCTAAAAAAAATCGTCGTACATCGGCATCATCTGTTGGCTCTGCTGCAGTTGAAGGTAAATAATATTAAATATATATTCTTTTTTTTTATTATATATATATTATATAATATGGTTGATCAAAGAAATATCTTATCCACATGAATAAATAAGCCCATTCACCAAAAGAAGTTCATACACCAATCGTATCGAAGAAAGAAAAACTTAATCCAGGTGTTTTAGTACGAAGTCAAAAGATACCTATACCGAAGCAAGCCTTGTTACTCAAAGTCCACAAAGCTTTACAAGAATTTGGTTTAGGGCCACGTCCAACTATGCCGACAGAAAATGTTTGTTCAAAGTTTACTGAATTACAGAAAATGACGCAAAATTTATTGGATCTCAAGAAGCAGGTTGATAAGCAAGAACACGAACTAAAAATCAAACGCGCGACACTTCAAAGAGTTTTATCATCTTCAGGCGGAGAAAGAGCAGGGGTTAGTGCTCAAGATGGTGCTTCTACTGATGGAACTACTGATACAAGCACCATTCCAGTAAGTTGACATAAATTGGGACATATATATATATTATTTAATTTTTTTTTAATTTTTATTATATATTTATAAACAGACAAAGAGAGACAACAGATCACTTCCTAATACACCTCGAGACGTCAAACGGGCACGAAAATGAGAATTTCCAAATGATTAAATCATTATTTATTACTTTATTTCTATAGTGAGATTGAATGTTTTAGATGAATTCAATGCAAATAAAAATTATTCTATATATGTAATTATTCAATTTTATGCACCTCTTATGGGCAATACTATTATTTTATCAGCGAATTCTCCCCAAGTAATTCTTTGATTTACAAAAATGCTGTACCAAGTTGAAAGTACAATAAGCCAAAATAAAGCACCTGCCATTGAGAAATATAGATCTAAAAATAAATTAATTTAATCAATTTTAGTCGGACCCCCAAAAAAAATCACATAATTATTAGACTTACATTTTTTTATCTCTTTACCAATATCTGAATGTTTAGTTAATGGCCACATATAGATTATGTTAACGACCCATAACCAAGGTAGAAACAATAATCCTATAAAAAAGAATTTCTTACATAAGGAAAGTATTTCAGAAGGAGGAATTTTTGAAGGGTTCGGAGGCATTTTTTTTTTTCAATTGAATAATAGAGGAGCTGAAAGTAGGAATGATATCGTGCACTTTAATTTATGTATTTTTGTACGTTTTTAATAATTTCACGTTACACCAATAAATTTGTTACATAGCCGCTAATTAATGCGTTGATTTTAACCTGATTGTATCATAGCAGATTAGCAGATAGCATATCGCCTTTTCTAAAATAAAAAACGTTATGGGATCAATTGTATATTTAAGTAGAATTGAGACTTTTTCAGCAGCACATAGATTACATTCGCCTTCTTTATCAGACGAGGAAAACGAAAAATTATATGGAAAATGCAACAATCCAAATGGTCATGGACACAATTACAAAGGTATTTATATGCGGGTTAAATTCACGTACTTTGATTAAATTCCTATTGATTGTGAAAATTATCAGTTGAAGTTATAGTAAAAGGAAAGATTGATCCATTAACAGGTATGGTGATGAATCTAGAAGAATTAAAAGAATGTATAAAAATAACGGTAATGAATGTTTTGGATCATAAGAATCTGGTAGAGATAAGGAACATTTTCTCTATTTTACTTGACAACTCATCGTCTCACTGTTTAAATTATTTTTATATGATAGGACCATGATGTGCCGTATTTTAAAAATATACCGAGGTAAGGTTTACTCTTCTTAAAATTACTTTCTCTATGATGTTTAATATAATACTACGTTATCTATACAATTTAATGTAGAAAGTTTAATATTTGGTGACTGAAATAGAGATGATCCGCACAAAAAAACTTAATTTATCATTTATTAATTTATCATTTATTAGTTTAACTAACAATAATTTTTCTCTTGAAAAACTTAGTACATCGGAAAATTTAGCAGTATTCATTTGGTACAATATTAAGGATTATTTATCTGAAAAATCACATGAAGGAAAATTATATGAAGTAAAATTATATGAAACTGAAAAAAATGTAGTAATTTATAGGGGAGAAAAGAGCGATGATTAGCTTATTCAATATTAATTTGTTTAATTAGAATTAATTTAATAATACGTTTTGTACTATAACATTTTTATCAAACTTAGAAACTTACGAAACGCTGTATTTCGGTGGGTTAAATTCATTATATAACATCAAACAAAGCTTAGAGGAAAATTTTCTATAAAAATTTCTTCTAGCATCCTATTAATCGTGTGTCATCAGTTTGTGCATAGTTTTATTGCTTATGTTTCGCCTTCCCATAAAAGTATTGGACGATCATTTTACGGCACAAAAAGAATATCCATTTTTGTCATAATCTCGCTAATTTACCATCCAAATTGACAATTCTAACAATTGATCCTGTTACATTTGGAAAGTCGTAGTTATGTTTCCGATGTTTCATAATAAAGGTGAATGATATCAGTTTCTGTTTTGTATTTTAAACGATATAAAATTATATTTAAATCAATAAATGTTTAATGGATTGAGGTAAAAGTGTACATATTGCGGTATAGTAATTGGTAACTTGCAATTAACATATTGTAGGACGCGATCTATACATTGTCTGGAAAGGTCAAATACCCAAATGATGAACAACTTATGCAAGTTTGTCATGATGCATTGTCTGTGAATTTAGCAAAATTAATGAATTGGTTTTAGTTAACTGGTATTTCGACCACGTGAATTTAATATTAGTATTTATATCTATATCTATAAAAAATTATTTATATATTTATTTTTATTTTTGATTTTAATCAAAACGGGTTTCGTGGTGTAATGGTTAGCACCCAGGACTTTGAATCCTGTAATCCGAGTTCGATTCTCGGCGAGACCTCTTTAATTTTGAATTTTTTTGAACATTAAAGGTTAGACTAAAATAATATATGCGTTTAAGTAGTACAAGATATAAAATACTTTTTTGATCGATAATTCATTTATTTATATTGTTACAAATTATGTAATAACAATACAATATGTATATATATATATATCTATTGCTTGTATTATTAAATATAAACATTTTAAAGAATCAAAAGAAAAAAAATAATAGCATGTATAGTGTTTTTGATTGAATACTTTTTATACAGTAGAAACTATATGTATAGTAGAATGAATGATGAATATAATAAAAAAATTACAAATTTTAATATGAAGGGAAAAAATGTTGTGCGGGATGTGTGTGAAAAAAATAAGATGTACCCAGAAAAAGAAAAAATATTAAAATAATAATGAAAATATTATCTCTCGAATAAATATAAGAAAAGCTTTAAACTCCCTAAAAAATTAAGTACATGTTAAATATTGCATATTCTTCATCTGGCAATCGTCCAAAGTATTTCGTTCTGACAGATAATAACAAACGATCGCAACAATTATTGCCAATATTGTCACAATTTTTCTTTGGTTCTGTAGATTTACGGTTGAATTTGGTTGAATTGGTTGAATTTGGTTGTTGGTTGTTGTTGGATAAATATGCATATATATAGTATTAGAAAGAAAAAATATACATAAATAAAATTTTGTTAATTATCTATCCTCTTCTAATTTAAAAAAGATTATTTTTTTTTTATCTAAAGAAAACTATATGAATTGTATTATAAGAAAGAGGAGGATTTTAAAATCTTTCTATTATATATTTGTTGGCCAAACCTACCCATAGCCCAGCCAAGATGTAGAAGATCCCAGATGAAATTGATTTTGTTAATAATGGATTATTCCCTTCAAAACCCCCCTACAAAAAAAATTCTCAAAATTTTGTTTCCCACCTCAAAAAACTCTTATTTTTAATTTTCCCCAACGAAAAAAATTTAAGTTTATATAATAATAAAGAGCACACACAGCCCGCAATAAAAAAAGGAATAAATAAATTATAAGGAAAAGATTCCTTATCGGTTGAAAATAATCATCTCAAGTTGATTTTCTTAAGTTACTGGGTTTGCCAAAACGTGATCTATCATTTTCTTGAATACTTTGACTAGTTTGACTAGTTTGACTACTCACTTTTCTTGCATATGACATGCGTTTCAACGCCAAGGGACCGCTGCCCGTTGACCCTTCGACTCGGAGTCCGTGTCCCTTCGGGATAAAGCGGATACTCGCCTCATGAAAACTGGGCCCTGAAGAGGTTTCGTTTCCTCCGATTGTTGACTCTGTTTCGTCAGATCCGACAAAAGATCTTGCTTTGGGGATGTATTTTTGTTCCAGGTTAGCGTGTTCTGTTGTGGCAGAATGAATTGGAGAGTGACATCATTGTTATCTATATTGTCATATAGTAAACGTCAAATTATGAAAAAAAAATAAAATAAAATAAAAAATAAATATCGGGATTTCCAACATGTTGAATATTGTTGGAAATCATCATATTCATATACAATTCTTGAGTAGGGCGTGTTACATTAGTATTTCAACAGTGTACATACCGACAAGGAATCTTTAAAATTATTGAACGGCGAAAAACAATATATTAGAAAATTTTGTAAGAAATTTTGTTAGAAATAAAAACAAATACATAAACCTTTTTATAAGTAATAAATTGAAATCGATTAAGCTTACTTTGAAAGTTCTGCCCATCCTCCACCGACTCGAACCATAACCATGCGACTTCGCAGTATACGACAATAACAAAGTTTTGGTTCAACTTCTCCGAACATATATTTGCCTGGTTCTCCTTCAACCATGGAAACTTTAATCTTTACAGGACAAGCATTTACTATTCTCGCTACTTCGACGTCAAGTTGATCGTTAGGATTGGGAACATAGTTATTAACATTGTGCGGTAGAAGTCTTATTGGTGGACGTCTTGGTGAACCTGGTGAGCCTGGTGTTGGACTTGGTGTTAGACGCGTAGGAGTCTTGGATGTGTTACGTGAAGTGGAAGGTCGGTATAAAGGATTTCGTGATGGAGATACACCTGGTGAAACAACGCCTCTCCTGCGAGCTTGTACACATAAAAAGGGAGGGACGGTAAGCGTAATGAAGAAGATGACGTTTTTGAAGCAAGTACATTTCTGGATGATCTTTTACCTGATATAAGCTGTGAATTCGAGCGACTGTGCCGTGTCTTCGGTACTTGACCAGAAAGTAATCGTTTTAACTCTTCTTTCTTTGCATTAGCGACATCAATTAATTCTGACCATTGTTCTTTTAGTATACCCAATCGATCTTCAACACGCCAATCTTCTTTTAATGGTTCTGCAAGACGTTTGCATTCATCGAATTTTTGATGTATTTTAGGGCAATAATAATCATACTTGGTTTCTAGTTCAATTGAACGTGATTGTAACTCAATTTTATCTAATGATGAAAGCGGGGAACCATCCATTGTTGTTGTTGCAATGTCAACGACTTCAAGTAATGAGCTCATTAAAGCATTCATTTCATCAGCTTTAGTACCAAACAATGCCAAATTATGTGCTTCCCTAAGTTGAGTTCTCTTTGTATCTATTATATTTGCAAGATTAGTTAGTGCTTCAGCTATTCCATGACGTTGTTGTACATATCCTGAATCATTTTCTGTTAAATTATTTATCATCTCATCTAAAGATTCAATTCTTGGCCCAAGAATATGATCAACTTCAGCTTGAATTTCATTAAGTTCAAGTTCTCCTCCTTCTACATCATCTTTTGTAGGTAATCTTGGAACACCCTCACCAGTAATGAATGATTCAATGTTCAAAACTCTTTCTTTAACTTGATTAATAGCTACTAAAATATCTTTAATAGCGCGTGAAACTTCTTGACTTTCTTTCGAAGCATTCAAACTTGTTCTTAAATGTGCAAGTAAATCTTTAAGTCCATACCAATCTTCTAGTACACGATTTGTTCGTATTTGTATTGCATCCTTGATTTTAGGGTTTGTTTCTTCTGGTTGAGGTGCATCAATTTCAGCACTATTAGTTTCCGGTATGAGAACTCGATGGCTTTGATCTTTGAATTGATCTATAACGCCTTGAAAGCTGGCAACTTTTCCTTCTAGACTTATAATTTCATCTTCCTGATCAAGTATACCACCTTGAATACTCAATACTGCCATCTTACAAGAACTTATCCAGTTTTTGATGTCGTGGGCACTTTTAGCATGTGCATGAACTCTCCTCGAAAGTTCAATTTCGCGACGTTCAAGAGCAACGGTATCAGAAAATTGTTCTAAAGCTGTTGTAACTTTATTGAAAATATTAACTACGCGATTTTTATTGGTTTCAGGATTTATTTCGATAAGTTTATCTGCCTCATTTTTCAAATCAATATTTATTTGTTGATCATATTTGTGCAATTTCTCTTCACTTTCTGAATATCCATCAATAGCATCTCTTATTATTGCCCCAAGAGCGTCAACTTCAAGAGCATAATATCCACTATTTTCAAGGTCTTCATGTCTTGATTTTACTATAGCAATTCCCTCACCGCAATTTGATATTATGCGATTTGCTTCCGCATGGAAAGCTGCTAATAGTGAAGCATTGTTCGCAGCGGTAAGAGCAACCTGGAATGACGCCAATAATTCATCAAGGCGATTAGTTGCTTCGTTATAATGATCATCGAAATTTTTACGATTTGTTAAATCAATTAAGTCATCAGGATCATCAATTATATCATTTGCTTTGAGTTTAGTGTCTTCAAGCATTAATTTAGCTTTTTCAATTTTTTCGTTTAATTCTTTTGCTTCAGCTTCCAAATTATCATAACCCACACTACCTAAACTGTTGATACGCTCTTCCAATCCTCCAAGAATATCATTCTCAACATGATATATGGAACCATGTCGATAATGCCAATTTGCAGTTTTGTCAATAAAGCTCTTATATTCCCCTGTAGACACGTCTAAATTGTCCCATGATTGATCAAGATTGGATTGCCATTTTAATATATCTTGTAATTCGCGTATTCCTTCTTTTAATGATATTTCATTGAATTCTGCTCTTATACTTTCAAGTTGATCTACGCGGTCAGGTAATTCTTTTGTGAATTGTTCATAAACCGATGTTAATTCACCGAAATTGTTCTTATTAAGTTCTTTAGAATTTCCTACCATAATACCATGTTTAGGTTTAACAACTGCAAAAGTTGCTATATAATCATCAATCCATCTTTGTAAGTCACTAGCACGACTCATATAAGCGTTAGCAATTTGCGATGATTGATATGCTTCAACATCATCGATCTTATTGTTCATCAATTTCTTTAAAGATCCAATAGAATTAACAATTTCTCTTAACAGGTTTTCAAGTTCTTTTGATTCCTTGTCGTTGAAAGCACCATAATTTTCTTTCAAATTTTCTTGAACCAAGTCATGAAGTTTTATTAAAGAGAAAAGTTCAGCTTGTTCTAAATTATTTAATTTGATCTGCCAATCTTTCATGTCAGCATTTGTGATTTCTTCAACTGGAGTATTTGACATTATGCTTGATAAATCGTTAACCTTATTAAAAACTTCATCGGCTTTTTCTTTGAAGTCGACAACTTGAAGAGCTTGATCCAATCTATTTTTTGCTTTAGGTACGTCAGATTGTAATTCTTCCCATAATGCGTCGATTGTTTCTTGTTTAGCTTTGACGGTTTCAAGATCAGCTTTGATATCTTCAGTATCATCACCACCTTGTTCAATTTCATTTGTCATCTCTTCAATTAATTTATTTGCTAGACTTTTAGCGAAACTGAAAGCACTATGATAAGCTTGACGCGCAGCTTCTATACCATCAACTTCACCAATAAGATCATGTATTTCGTCTTTTGATAATTTTCCTAAAGTTTCATTGTTAAGAATATCTCTCAAAACATTTAATTTAGGTTGAATCCATGAAGCAACGTCATCAGCTTGATTTATATAAGATTCGATCATCTTCTTACGACGTAATACATTTTGATGTGTCTCTAAAAGGTCTTTCAAACTATTTGACAAAGATTTAAGTGATTCGTTTTGAGCATTAACAGCCTCTTTTATAAGATTGTTACTATCTTCTGTACGTCCCATTCTATCGTTTTCGTCATTCTGTATTGAACATGTGGGATACTCAATTCGTGAAGCAATGTCTTCACATAAAGTTTGAACTCGATCCGCAAAACCGTTAACTGCAGTGGAAACTGTGCTTCCTTCTCCACCAGGTGAACTTGGTTCATTGGACAAGAGAATCTAAAAAAAAATTTATATTTAATATATATTTTTATAAGAAACACTTAAAATCATTCGTTAATAATCACCTGTTGGATCTGATCTGCCTCTTTTTCCAACTGAGCACCATCTGCCATATAGTCCATAACAGCTTTTCGTTGATCTATTACATCTCTAGCATATTTATCTAATACATCTAATTCATTAAGAATTTCATTCAATTTTTTACGTCTCTCTTCTATATGTTCTGGTATATCTTTTTCTTTCGCAGCCATAACTTTTCCATAATCATCAACCTTATCACTAACAGATTTGACAGTATTTTTATCAAACTCGGCAACTTTCTTATTAAGATCATCTAATTCAGCAATCAAATTTTCACGAACTGAATCTATAGCATTTTTGTCTATAGGATCTTCTTGGGTTTGCCATGAAGCTTTATTAAAGATAAAATTATCAAGTTCATCTACAAGTTGATTTGCATTTGAAATTACATTATCGAGTTCTCCGGATAGTTTCATCGTATCTTGATAAGATTTTAATAACTCGTCAAGTTCCTTAGAAAGATTAATAAGATCTTCCATACGAGTATCGACAACTTTTTTTATTGGTGCATTAACATCATCAGTGGATAGTGAATCATTAGGATAGGCAATTTTATCTGCGAATTCATGTTTCAAACTATTCAAATAGTCTTTAAAGGTTGCTAACTTATCGGTAAAACCGGGATCCACCTCCCCATTTTCTTCAGCAGATCTCAATTGTTCTTTCAATAATTCTCCTTCCTTTTCTACAAAATTTGCTTGGTTAAGGTATGTATTTATGGCATCTCTTTGATCCAAAACTTGTTTACTTAAATCTACGCGTCCAGTGAGATTATCGAAACGTTTTATAAGATTAAGTTGACGATCAGAAATATGTTTAGGGGGTGATTGTGATAAATAAGATTTAATGGATGATACCATATCATCATATGCTAATTTTGTTGAAGTCAAAGGTTTCTCTTCAAATTCTGAAACATTTTGTTTTAAATCGGTAAATTCTTGATGTATATCAGTTTCTGGATTGGCATTGTCCGGTGACCATCTTGCTTTCTCGGATATATATTCATTAATTTGATTAGTTAATTCATCAATAGAACTTGTACAAGGACCATGTTGATCTTCCCATTTAGCACGACTATGTAATACTGAAAGATTCAGTTGGCGTGATGATGATACTGATTGAAGTTCTCCAAAATTTTTATTAATATTTTCTAATGCCTCGCGTAGCGGTTTTTGATCGACGCTTTTACATTTAGCTTTTTTAATATCTTCCAATAAGGTTTCAAAATCATTACGGACTTGACTTATATCTTCAACATCAACTCTCGTATTTTCTCTAAGGAAGGTTTCATGTTCTTCTTGCATTTTTTGAACTTCAGATTCATTCCAAGGACATTCTTCAGCAAGAGGATCGATTTTCTTTTCTTCTAGTATATTTAGCCTTTGTGTGATCCAGTCTTGTAAACGAGAGGAATCTTCCAAACATTTATTAGCTCGTTGCTGAAGCTCCAAGGACGTTTGATATGTTTCATATAATTTATTTAATTCTTCTCCCGCAGATTCCAATGAAGATATCCGTTTTTTAGCAGCTTCCTCTATGGCAGTATTTTTTGTAATTTTTACTTCATCCATGATAGGACTTGTAGGATATGGTAATTTCGAACCACGTTCATCCCATAAAGTTGTAACATTTTGATTGAAGTCTTTTAGATGTGTTGCAAAATCAATTTCACTTGGGCCTTTGGAAACATTTTTTTCGGCTTCAATAAGGTTTTTCTTAATTTCAGTTGCATCATTATCCAATTTTGTTGCTTCGGACATATATTCAACAACAGCAGCACGTTGTTCTAAAAGATCATGAGCAAATGAAACATGTTCATTAAGTTTATCAACATTGGATTCAAGTTTAGATTGACGTTTTTCAATATGATTACGACGATCCTTGTCAGCTAATTTTTCACTAGCGTCAATGAATGCATCATAATTCGACTTGTTCTCAACAATCTCTTTGGATAAATGATCTTTAACTTTTCCTTCAAGAGAAGAATATTCTTGACTAAGAATTTCATGTGTGGAAATATCTTCTGAAGTTTTAGGATTCCACGATGCCTTTGAAGCAATAAAATCTTTTGATTCTTTCGTTGTAGCGTCAACAAAATTATTTGAATCGTTAAGGGAATCTTCCCAGATGAGACGTTTTTTAGCAGCATCGACTTCATCAGGTTCACGAGATTGTAAAGTTTGAAAATCATCACGAAGTCCTTTAAGTTTATCATCAAGATTTTTCATTATATTTTCTAACTCATCAGTGTTGACACATTTTGTTCCAACAGCTTTAACATCGGTAATTAGTGCTGCAACTTTTTTATGTAAAACTTTTAACTCTTCTTCGTCAAAATTATGTATATCAACAGCTATTTGGGCATTACCAGAAACATAATCGTCAATATCTTGAGAAGCGAATTTACATGGTTCTTGGAAGACGTCAAATTTACGTTTCATTATATAATCATCCTTTTTAGATATCCAATTTTCTAAACGATCAGCTTCTTTTTTATATTCGTCAGCTAATTCTACAAATTTAAGAGCGCGTTGATAATTTTTCAAAGCTTCATCGGTTTCAGCAAGTAATACTTTTAATGTTTCATTATAAGATTTAACTGCTTGTTTTATTACTTCATTTTCTGATTCATCATGTCTTTCATTATGTGGATATATTATCTTTTCAGCCATTGAATTCCAAGATTTTTCTATACGTTGATTTATTTCAATCACGCGAGCGATAAATTTCTTTTCAACAGAACCACCACGTGGATTCGATTCTTCAATAATTAATTCGTTTTTTAATTTAACTGCTTCGGCGAAAGCTGATTCTGTTTCATTAGAATAATCAATAACTTGTTTACGTTGTGTTAAAACATCATTAGCAAACTTATAATATTCTTCTAAATCATCTTTATCCCTTTCTTCAATGTTCTCTTGTCTTTCAATTAAATGCTCAGGTAATGGCGTTTGAGAAGTATTAAATAATTCATCAAAGTTTTCGGTTGTAGGGGGTATTGTATTTTGTATGTAGTCTTCTAACTTTTGATTGATCTTATGTGATTCGGAAGTGACATCATGTTGAGGAAGTTGATTCTGATTAATAAACCAACCATCCTCTCTTTTTTCAGAAGAGACTGGAGCCTTCCATCTACCACGATTAATTACGAAATCATTAATTTCATCAATCAGTATATTCCAAAAATTCATCGCATTACCATATTCACGTTCCCATTGTACACGTAAAGATAAAAGATCCAATTCATATTCACGGTCTTTTAATTTTCCAAGTAATTGGTCAAGGATTTTTAAAGTCTCAAAGGTAATTCCGATTGTCATCGTGTCAGCAGGGGACATATCAGTAGTAGTAGTTTCGTTACCGGTTCCTACTATACCTTTAACGTGAGCTCTTAAACGAGTGACATCCTCAGAGTCAAATTTTTCAACTTCTCTTTCTAATTCTTCATATTCTTTTCGCCATTCATCAACTTGTTCTTGAGTAACAGGAGCTTCGTCTTCTTGAAAAGGATCAACTTTGGGTACATTTAATAAAATGTCTACACGTTCCCTCATCCAACCACGTATACGTACAGCCTCTCTAAACCATACACGTACTTCCTCAATCCAACTCCTTACAAGCTTATATTGATTAACTATTTCATCAAAACATTCCTTATATCTTTTATCTTCAGATTCAGGGGATAATAAATGACTATAGGTAGTTTTTAATGATTTGGTTAATTCTGAAGCATCAGCCATATGAGTATCTAATTCTTGTAAGGAAGCATCTGTTGTTGTATCATCTCTTCTCATTTCACCTTTTACTATATCAAGTTGATCACGTATAGAATTTATTCCTTTTGCGAATTCTCTTCCTTCTTTTATAGTAACAAGATCTTTTTTCCTAACTTCCATAAAGTTCTTAATTTCAGCAAATTTTTTCTCTAAACCATCAATTAATTTGACGACTTCTTCATCACGTGATTTTTTTGCAGGATCACCCTTTAACCAAAATTCAACCCATAGGGTTCTCTCAAAAGAAATTAATTCAGATTCAATCTTATCATAACGTTCAGTAATTTCAGCGACATGATCATCATTACAAGTAAGACCATGTATACGTTCAGGTTCTTCAGTTTCATTTTCTGCATCAATCATATAAGTTGGAGGAGAAATTAAACGTGCATAAAAATTTTCTAAATTATTTTTAACAATAACTCTTATTCGATCAAATTCAGAACCAGCAGAAGTAGGAGAAGTTGGAGACGAAGGACTTAAATATGCGGCCATTTGAAGTTTATTCTCAGCCAAAGCAACACGTATATTTTGAATTGTTAGTAGTAATTTAGCATGCTTTTGCTTTAAAGTTTTCGCAAGGGCGGAATCATCATTTAAAAGTTCACTTTCAAATTCAGTTATTTGAGATTCAACATCTATAACATCACCCATGACCAAATCAGCATCATTATGTTCAATAAGTGTCTTCCTTATTTGAGTCATCTGATTACGCATGCTTTCCATTGAACTGAGCAACTTTAATACTACAGAATATCGATCAATAGTAGTTTGTGATAAAAGCAATTCAATAAAATTATCTAATTTTGTAAGACGATTATTAAGATTTCTTAACTGTTTTGTCATTAAATCAACAACTGTTTGAACTTCATTATCAGCTGAATTTTTTATTGTAATAATAATTTCATTTGCTTTTTTATCAAGATCATCAATTTTATCAGATTTGATCTTTTGAGATTCTGAATTAATAGCTTTTATGTCATTTATTCTATCATCAATTATAGATGTAAGATTCTGTTCCTCATCGGTCCACTCACGTTTATTAATAAAATCAGGTATTTCTAATTGTTTTAATCGATTTAAAGTAACATTGATCGATTTATCAGCATCATTAGCGGCATCGAACCATCTTGCTATACGACGATCATGAGCTAAAGCTTGTTTTGCGGAAGCGACTTTACTTCTCAATTCGGGTACATTATTATTAATGATAATATTAATATGATCGGATAAATCTTTTGGGGAACGAAATCTTTCATGCTGAAGAAAACTTTCAACTTCTTTAACTTTAGAATCTACTTCTTGGACAGATTCTTCAGCTGCGACAACTTTAGTATACCATTCATCTAATAAAGAAGATGAAAAGACCATACCAGTTACAGTAATGTCACTAGATGATTCGATAATACTACTACCAAAAGGACTAGGATTGTCGCCACCACCATCATCATCAAGACGTTTCTTTCTAGATTCTTCAACACCTTCTAACTTTGCTTCAACATTTTTAATTTCAACTTCAACTCGTTCAACATTTGAAGATAATTCTAATACCCATTTTAATTCTTGTAATTTTAATTTTCCTAATTCTATTAAAGAATTAAAATTTTTCCATAACGAATCAAAAGTGGAAAATATTTGAGTAAAAGAAGTAGAGTCCGTTGATGAAGAAAAAGAAGAAAGTTGATTATATTCTAATTGTTTATGACTTATTATATCAAGTTCTATTTTTGATAAATCTTCTTCAGAAGAATTTAAAATATCAAGGTCAGTTACAAAGGTAGTATTTAATGGTAAAAAAGCAGGTGAAGATAAAGTAGAATTAACTATATCATTCATCCAAGACGATAAATTTTTAATATTTTTAAAGTATTCTTCGAGAGGGTCGCCTATATTATCGGTAGTGATAGTATTTTGTTCCAAATTTTTCTGTAAAGCATTTTTCGTTTCATGAAATACCTCTTTTTTTTCAGTAAACTCTTGGTCAACAGTTATTACTTCTTCTAAGACGCCATTTTGTAGTATTTCCTCATTCGTTTCTACTGTTATCGTAGGGTTATATGTTTCTTCTTCCATTTTATTTAAGATGAAAATGTTAAAGTATTAGGTAAAAGGGTAAGCGATGAGATAATATAATAATATCGATGAGGGGGAAAGGAAGAGACTTATATTTTATTATTATTATTCAGTTTTTTTATTTTTGACGTATTTTATTATTTTATGGGCGAAATCCACTCTCGAAGAATATTTTATTTTTTTTTTTTTAATAAAAAAAAACTTTTTTTTATATCAAGGTGTTAAGTTTATTTTTTTTAAAAAAAAAAAAGAGTTTTTTCTTAAAAAAAGAGAAAAACTTATTTTTTTTCTATTTGATATTCCGTGTAAAAAAAGGGCGTAAAAAATTGATTCGGATAAGTTATTGAATTTATCATTTATTGTAAATAATAACTGATAATAAAAAAAAAAAAAATTTAAATAACGGGTAATGAGACGACAGATTACACAAAAGAAATACAAATGATGAATGATTGTTTTAGTTGTTTCTGAATTAAGTAAAAAATAGACTAGTGTGATATCATTTGAAATTTACATAGATATAAAAAGAACAAAGAGGGATGTTCCTTTAATAAAAAAAATAAATATGAGTGAATAAAGAAAAATTTTTCATTGTTTTTTTTCACTTAATTGAGAATTCGAGAATATCACAGAGTTTATTGTTGTTTAAAAATAATAACCAAATCAAGTAAATCAATAGAAATATTTAAATACTTGGAGAAATGTTTGAAAAATTTCTTGTTATTAAACCTGTTATTTTATATATTTTCAATAAATATATATAAAGGAATGTCAACGCTTATATTATGATTATGTATCAAATTTAGATATATTGTGTTTTGATGTTTATTGACACTTTTTTTCCGTTGAAGTAATAATAATAGAGTAAATGGGAAGAGTGATAACACATATGTGACACTTCACTATTTATATACATATTATGAAACATAATTTTATGGTGACAATACGCTGCGGTAAATAGGATGAATAGGTTCAATAAAGGCTTTATATTGTAAACAGAGAAGACCAATTAATTTTAGAACGGGTGACAATTTCAGATAATCATTCCTATTTATAATAAAAGAATCCCCTAATTTAGTTCATTAACGGCAATTGCACTTCAATAATAAATTCTCAGCAAATTTCTGCATTACGAACGCACGGTCAATAAATCTGAAATTTTATGCACTCCATAATTTTAAAGATTATAAGATTTCATAAGTAATTACTTCTAACGCTTAACATTTATATTGATAAAATCAGCAGAATAAATGCCATTTTTATTTTTTTCATTTTAAACAAGGATATTTATAAATTTATAACCTTCTTATTTATTAAATCGGTATTTTAATCGATATATTATCGGTGTTTAAAATCGGTATCGGTAGAACGCAGTTTCATTATCGGTATAGTGTTAGTTTGACTTTCATGTGATGGTTGTGATACCCATTATCACTCGGATAAATTCTCCTCATTTTTTTGATACTTAATTGATTAAAAATAATGTCAATAATAAAAGAGAAAAAAACTGTTACAATATTAGCAAAAGCCGTATCAAAATGTTCTTTACAAGTAAAAAAACAAATCATTTTTTTTTTATAAATAAAATAAATAAAATTATTTATACATAGCCAATTTTTTTTATAAAATTAAGGCTACAACTTATGCAAAATGTGTAAGTTCTCAACTTGATTCCATTCATCATAATGCTTGTTATAAAGAATTTCTTGATTTCAAATTATGTGTACAAAAATGTGTAAGTTAAATTTATATTATAAAAAAAAAATTAAATGTTCAAAAATTAATTATAACCTTAAATATTAGGTTGGTAAATCCTGGTAATTATCAATTTGCAATGTAAGGTATTGTAACATAATAATTTACTTCATATATATATTATTATATTTACTTCTATTTAATTAACTTTATTTATTAGAAAATATCATATAATTAAATACAAATAAGAAATTTCTTTACCTTGAATTCTTTAAACTAAAAATAAATTGATTTAAATAAAACGTTTCATATGTTTCTTTTTTTTTTAAAAAAAAAAAGTACATGACGCACTTACCGAAATTTCCATTAATTAGAAATTCGAGAATCCCTGATGTTGATGTCTACTACGTCCTCCCGATTTATTTGTACTGGTTGCAATATTAAACTTGTCAACAAGCTAAGGGAAAAGAAAAAAAAAGTAAATGATTTATTACTAAAAGAAATACATATGTATGTATTAATATTTACCTCATTGATGCAATTAGTTCCTTTGGTTATAGTCGCCAGATATGAAGTCAATAAAACATCATTGTATTCCTACACAAATAATTTATGCTAAGTTTCTCTCCTAAATCAATAAGTATATTTTTATTTTTAAATTTTATTACAAACCGTAAGGAATTCTTGTCTGAAATCAGCACTGTCAATAGTTGGCAATCTATTACAAAGTCCGGCAATTTGACGAAGAACATCATGATCAACACATGATTCATCTGTACACAAATAATTGTTAATAAATAGATCTTATCAATTGCTCTTCGATTAATAAGTACCTGTTTTAGCATTGACAAGGTATTGATGAAGAATCTTTATTCTAGTATGCAACATTTTAATTGCATTCCTTTGAGTTGTCAGGTGTGCAATAACTAAATAAAAAATTAAATTTAAAATTGAATAACAATAATAAATAAAATATTACTGTCGTCTATTATAACTTACGCGAAGAACCTTCACCACCTTCCCCAAGAGTTGTATGAGCAACATGGTCGACAGAAATACGTTCAGCTTCACCAGTTTCAATCTTATATTGTGACTTAATAAACAATGTTTGAGCTTGTCCATCAATAAGATCAATAATTGATTCATAAACAGTGATTGGTAAATTCTTCGATGTGACAATATCAAAAGGATTCATTTGAAGAAAAAGAGGGCTTTCATTCCATGTCATCATCTAAAAATTTTTTTTTAAAAAAAATTCTATTAGATCTATTAATATGTATACTCAAATATTATTTATTCGTACCTGTTTATGGATTTCAATATCACTTTCGGTTGGATATCGTCCCAAAGTATACCATCCCAAGAAATCAAACTGTGGAAAAACTTGGCGGACTATATTATTATATTATCATATGAATTATTCAAATCCTTTTTATTTTATAAAGAAAAGAAGAGAAAAAGAAAAACTGGAAAAGACGTACATTGATCTTGCTTTGTTGTAAAATAATCTACATTCACTATCACTTTTCCATCAACTACATCAAATGCTAATTCAAATGAATTGGTAATTTCTACTTCACGCCCCGTTTGAGTACCAACCAATGCTCCAATTACTACCAAAAAAATAGATTGTCGTTTAGATAAAAATTCAAGCGTTATTATTAAAGAATTTTATACATACCTTGTGGGCTTTGTATTTGTTCTTGCATTCGTACACGTGTAAAATGATCTGATATGTTCAACAACGTCAATGGATGTCTAAACAAATGCAAGTTCATTAAAGAAATTGTTGCAAGTGAAACAATTAATCCTATAAACTAAATGTACTCACAAAGCGACCATTAAACCAGAATTATTAGGAGCATTTGACACGACAGTAGACACCGCTTGTTGGGCAGCTACTTCACTGTCGTTTATAATTTCCATGCTAGTATCCATATTGAAAAAATAAAAACTCTCAAAATCCGGAAAACGCGACTTAGAAAAATCGAAATAGTAAATTTTGCTTTAAATTGACTCACGTGAGTACATAGTGTAACGTCTATTTAAAATTAATCATGATTAATATATACCTATATGAATCATATGAATATCTATGACGGAAACATGTCATGTATAGAGGCCTATGTATGTCTGTATAGTGATCAACGTACGGTATGTATGGTCATTTTTACCATACTGTAGGGTGGGTGATGTATACTGTAGGGTGATGTATACCGGACGTTGCCATACATTGACCACTATACGTACATACATAGCTCACATGTTTTCTATATAATCATATGAATCAGTGTTTATAGAACTTAATTAATTACTAGTCAAAATTGTAAATTTTAATAGTAAAAAATTTCTGATCAGGTTATCGAGATTTAATTTTTAAAAATTTTAAATTGCCTTTATATTTAAGTTGATATATTTCGTAAAATTATAACTTTACATCCAATATTTTAAATGTAAATTTAAAACCCTATTTAAACTGTAAATTTATATTTACAATATATAAATGTAAAGTGTGTATTATTGAAGACAAAATTATTTCAATAGAATAAATATTAAAATGCTAAATCGAATTATAATATTAAAGATCATAAAGATCAATTAAAATTAATACGCAAGAATTACAAAGTTATATTCAAAAATAAGTGTTAAAGATTGTCATATTAATATTACGTTAATATATAAAAAAAGAAATCATGAAGTTGCCTAAAATATGATAAAAAGATTTATTATATCAAATGACATCTTAAATTTAAATATATAATAATACTAAAATCTGCTTACATTCATATCGACATTGTTATGATCCAATTTTATAATCTTTGAGTGTCCATTATTGCATCTCTCAACGCGATATTTAAAGTTTGATAATTCTCTCACACCTAGTTTTTCCGCAAATTTGTCATCATGAGTAATGATAACTAGCTGAAAGTTTGATTCACCCCGACGGCTTTCTACAATACTATTACGATATTTATAGTATAATTAGTCAAATATTTAACGAATAGTTATTAAAAAGGAGAAATCACTCACCTTCTTAAGCTCTCGGACAAATTATTAATATGATTTTCATCCAAATTGGTCGTTGGCTCGTCAAGAACAAACATTCCAAAACCCTTGCTAAAGCATTCTGCTAACGCCATTCGAATAATAATTGATGCTAACATCCTTTGGCCAGCACTACATCTCCCACGCATATCAAGAACCTTTCCATTTTTCTTCATAACAACTCTATAATTGTACGATCTATTATTTTGTGTACTTTCCTGTTCAGAACGAATCTCGATACTTTCGATATCGTCTCCGTTATATGCCTTATCCCATAACTCATAGATCTTAGCGTTTATCTCCTGCATTTTTCGCGTATGGTAATTCATTAACGTGTTTTCTAATTCATTTATTAGCCGATCAATTTCAGTTATTGCCTCTTGATCACCATGTTTTATAGCCCATTGCTCTTTGAATCTTCCTTCAATATTTTTATATTGCGTTTTAAGATCATCTTTATCAAAATTAATTGAAACCTTTAACTGCTCCATATTACCCGTTATACTTGAAAATTCAGATGTCATTCTATTCTGCTCATCTTGTAAGAAAGCTAGCTTTTCTTTATAACTGGTCAAGCCTTGATTTTCAAGCTCCTGGCGAAGTTCTCTTGTTTGTTCTTGAAGCTTTTCAATTTCAACTTTAAGATATCTATATTCAATGTTGTCCTGTATATCTCTCTCTGTCTGGCGTGTTTGTCCAATTTTCATATCCAATTTGTGTATTTTATCCTTCAATTCGTTAGAATAACGCTCCTTTTCTGTGATAATTTTTTGTTTTCTTTCAACTTGTTTCGTGTATTCTCCTAATTTCTCTTTTTTACCACTACGATTATACCAAGCGATTTCTCGTTCGATCTTGGTAAAACTATTATAAAATAATTGCAATTTATTGAGTTCAGACATAATCGCATCCTCCGACTCGGATCTACGCTTACGAAATTCTTGTAATTCAGTCGTTATATCTTTAATTTCATCATCCGCTTTCATGATTTGATTAAATAATGGTGAGATTAATTTTTCTTGACAAAGAATCTCTTTATTTAATTCTTCTATTTGTTGTTGAATGCGATTACGATTATTAAAACAATTCTGCTTTTTGCATTTCTCCATTTCCAATGTATGTAAACGATTTCGCAAATCTGTTTCTTCTTTATTTCGTAATTCGCGAACATTTTTTAGCTCGTCAATATCTTTTTCAAGAGTACTAACTCTTTCTCGCAGCTCTTCTCTTTTATTTTTAGACTCGGTCGCAGATTTCATAAAAGGTTCAAGAGCATTAATTTCTCTATCAAGATCTTTTATGTCGCTCTTCAACCGAATGGTCTCCTGTATTTCTTTGTTTAATTCCATAACATTAAACATATTTTCTTGAGATTGAGATAATTTGTTATCAATTTCCATCAGTTGAAATTCGTACTCATTAGTCTCCTTTTCTTGCTCTTTAATTTGCTTTTTCAATTCACAAATTTCGGCCTGTAAACTCCTTATTGCAATATAATTTGGTTGTAAATCACGAAGACGTTGACACCATTTTTTGATATCTTCTAAATTACTCTCTTGTCTTGAACGTTCTTCAGGCAGATTAGTTGTAAATTTTTTTAGTCTCTCAATAAAGTCATTCAATTTGTCTTCGCCTGCGAATGGACGATGACATAATGGGCAATCCTTTTCTCTCTCTGTCCTATCTATATAGTGTTCATACATTTCTGATGTGCTGTAAAATAAACTCATCTCATTTTGTTTAAATTCTAATTGATCTTCTGCTTCCTTTAATAATGTTAAGTATTCTTTATTACCACATATATCCTTCAGTTTCTGCATATGATTATGGTACTCCTGATTTTTTGCTTCAACGTTCAATTTCATCATTTCAATTTTTGCCTTGATATTAGACAAATCTCGATCAACTGATTCTTTTTGTTGTTCTAGTTCTTTATTTTCGCGGTTAAAACTATTCACTCGATCATTCCAATCTCTTTCAAGTGTTTCTAAATCTGGATCTTTATTTAACAATTCCGAAAGCTTAATAGATAACAATTCCCATGTGGTTTGGATCATTGACGCTTTTTTATGCTTCTCTGATCGCTTATATTCCAACTTAGCTTGATTAGTCGTTAATTCTTGGAGACGGGTGAGCTTTTTATCTAATTCTTTATATTCTTTTTGTTTTGCATCTATACTTGAAGTAATTTTATTTATTAGATCATCCTGTACAAATTCTTCGATTTCTGACTCAACTTCTTCTAGTGAAGTATTAAGTGTAATCAAATCAGATTCAGACAATAATTCCATGCGATCAATTTCCTTTTCAAGTTTAGATTTTTTGACTATATTAGACTCTTTTGCTTTCGTAGTAGAGTCTCGAGTATGTTTTAATGAACTAAACTTTGATCTTAGCTCGTTGTTTTTATTAGTTAAAAATTCATCTTCATGTTGCAATTGTTCTCTTTCCTTTTCTAATTTATTTTTCCTTTCTTCGATTGAAGATTGTAGCAAAGATTTAAATTTCTGTATATTTTCTTCAGTAGGAAATGTAGATAACAAATTAGAGAATTGACAATCACGAATAATCGCTTGCATAAGCTCGTCTAGTTCGGAAAGTCGTTTCTCATGAGCTGTATATTCGACCTGTAAGTTAATCTTTTCAGCAGATAAATTACTGAGAGAAGATTGTAATTCGTTAAGGTCAGATCTATATTTTTTTACTTGTTGATTCATATCATCAATGGCTGTTTGCTGATTAACTCGATCACTTTCGAATTCATTCTTGAGTTTAATTAATTCCTCATCAGATTCATGATACTCGATCATTCTATTTTGTAGATCTTTAAAATTTTTTTCCTTTTGTTCTTTGGTATTAGTTAATATTTTTAGGTCTGATTCTTTATTATTTACTTCTTGAATAGTTTCTAGTAATGATCCAATTTCTTGAGCAACATCATTAATTTGATGACTGTAAGTTTTTCTTTGGCGAGTAAGTTCTTCAACCTTTTTTTTATTTTGTTCAATTCTCCTTTGTAACTTCTCAGCCCTTTCACGTTCTTTCATCAAATGATCGAAAACTACTTTGCCTTCTTTATATGATGTAGCTAGTGCTTTCCTGTCCTTTTTGACATCCGTTATTATATTAGAAAGCTTGCCGGATTCAAAAATTTCATCGAATTTTTTTTTTAGCACAGTCGGTTCAGATAACGGCCAAAGAGAGTCATCTTGATGACAAAATATAACAAAATCGAGAATAGCAGGAGGAACGCCAAGATGCGCGGGAACCGCTGAATCTAAGTCTGCACAGCGACCAGTAAGACTTGTTCTAAACCGTGAAGCTGGATCATTTATTTCCAACAAAGATTCAAGTGTTTGAAATGTTGAAACTGTTTTTCTCTGTTTCATGGACATAGACCTAGTAGCAACCACTTCTTGTCCGTCTATACCCGTGAACTCAAGTTTGATTTGAGCTTTAACTTCATTTTCGCCATATAAATTTGGGTCCATTACAAAAGTCTTTCCCCTTGAGGTACCTGGTGGACAAAGACCAGTAGTGGCATACCTCAACGCCTCTATTATAGTTGTTTTCCCAGAACCATTTGTGCCAACTATTAGCGTAAGAGGCTGATCTAAGTTTACTTCAAAACATTGCGAGGGACCAAAACAACGAATTCCTCGTATTGCGATACTATGAATCTTTGGCATTATAATTGATTAAGCCGTGTATTGAAGTTATTGAAATGACGGAAAAAAGCTATACTTCGCGTGAAATAACGAGTCATATAGATTATCACGCACTAATTGACGTTGTACAATTCACACGTGATTGATTACTGTTATTTATTTTATTTATTATATAAAATTATTTGTATAAATTGTACAATCTGGTTTTTCTATACATAAAAAAATTTGTATAAATTGTATTTATTGTATCTATAATTAATATCGATAAAACAATCGATTGTTTCGTGTATAATGCTGTAAAAACTGTTTTATTGTTGAATTTACTTTGCTTCATAACAAATTCGCTTACATTATTATTAAGTACGTTATAAAATCGTTCTTTAACTCACTTACTCGTGACGTTAAATTAGCTATGTAATCGTCGGAGATGATGCATAAACGCATTTTACGATAATAAGTATTTTATACTATTAAGAGAGAACACAAGATCAAAGACAGAAGAAACGATTTACATAATTACATTAACAAATCAATTCATGTGCCATACGGAAGATAGTTTATAAGGGCAGTAAAACTTAGCTTTGATGATTGATCCTATTGCTCCAGTTCGACTTGGGTTTGCTGTGCAAAGACATCTATTAATTGAGTTTGTGGCAATCCTGAAAAATCAACTCCACCTGTCGCTGGTGAATAATAATAGTAATGAGCAATGGGAATCAAGGGGGTAAAGCCTCGACGATTTCGATACTTTGTTGCTTGCTTCATTCTTCAACTTGACGCAGTGATGTTACCGCAGTAGCAGTAGCTAGCTTCGGATCTTGATTTTTATACTTTTCAACAAATTCATCCAGAATTCTTATATAATGCTTGAAAAGCTATATAAGGCTCACGAAAGACTGTTCCCCGATTTTTACAGTGAAAAAGTATCTTCCTTACATACCTACATCAGGTTGTCGAGATGATGAAATTGTAGTAACCGAATCTAGTAACCGAACTCTTTCTAGCAATTTCATTTCACATTCATTCCACTGTGGAACGATATGCTGCTTCTTGTTAATGTTGACTCTCGAATTGCCTCGCCGTCAACTTTATCCCAAAAATGGCAATGAGTAAAAGCAGTTATATTTTATAAGCCCTGGATACAATATTGAGAGTTTCAACAGCTTTAGCAGCGGCTTCCATTCTTTGCATCCTTTACTCCGTATTTCTCGCCTGATACCAATTGTTTCAGAGACTAACTATTTCCTTTGATTCCGGCTTTTTCTCTAAAGATTATTCAGATTGTCGTAATATTAGTTCTTTGATAAAAATGATTCACATTTGGTCAAGAGAATATTTCATCTGAGAAGAAGGTTTGTCCTGAATGAATGACAGGTTTTTATTTGTACTTAATTTCTTCATGGGACGCGCAAGTGCAAGTTTAGTTTACCATGATCAACCGACGCAGTTATTTATTTCAAAACCCGCAGCAATGAGGCAGAGTCACATGAACACTCTTTTTTTTTTGCCCTAGATTTTTGCAAGCTTCTCATCTTACAAAATTATCGTTATTCTCGACTTTCATCATGAAGTATGTATTGAAATATGAATTTATTACTGGTTAAATAAGAAAGATTGTAAAAATACTGTGATATAAGTACTAAATGGGGTTTTCATTGAAAATTCACAATAAGAATTGAGACCGATTCCTTCAGTAGCAACAAGATCTACCCGGGCAAAGGCAAACTTTATGTCCGGACAGATAATAGGGTTAGGATTTTAAGCTTATTTTTAGAAAATGAATATATTTTAATTTAGTGTGATGGATGAAAATTATCACACGAAATCAATAAAAAATTTATTTTGGTTGAATTTATTTCGAGAATAAAGGATATATTATAATAAACAAAATTATTCAATTATTAGGTCTTTCGATTTGTTGGATCAAAATCCGAATCTTTGTTCCTACAACGAAAGAATCCACGTAAAATAAGTTGGACACAGGTTTACCGTCGTATGCATAAGAAAGGTATTACTGAGGAAGTTGCAAAAAAACGTACACGCCGTACGGTCAAACATCAAAGAGCTATTGTCGGTACAACTTGGGAAGCTATACGTGCTAAACGAAACCAAAAACCTGAAGTAAGAGAAGCTGCTAGACAAACCGCTCTACGTGAAGCTAAAGAGAAAAAGAAAGCCGATCAAGCAAAAAGAAAAGCCGACAAAGCTAAGGTTTGAAAATTTTATTCGATCGATTTTCTAAAATGTTTTAATCTAACGTTTCTGATTTGTATATTATAAGACTGCTCAAGCTACTTCTCGTGGGCAATCTAAAATTTCTAAGCAACAAGCTCGTGGAGCTCCTCAAAAAGTTGCCGCAAAGAGCCGTTAAATAAATTTCATAATAATAATATTATTAAATAGCTTAGATATGTTTTTACATTAATAAAATTATATTATTATTCGATATTCTACTCAATTTCTCAATTTAATTCATTGCCCAATGATTTATTGAAATAACACCCTAGACGAGCTATATAAATTCTATTGATTATTATTCATTTTGAAGTATTATGTCAAGAGATGAACACACTTTATCTAAACAATCAATTTTCTCTACCGATTTTTACTTAAAATAATTTAATAAATACCCAATTATTTATAAGTTTTATACATTATCTACTAATAATAAAAACTCATGCAGTATAAGGTTAAAACCTCTGAAATCTGTATCATACCCGGGGTAACTATGGCCCCCGTTTATACATGTTCCTATTACATACATTTTAAAATTTAAACTGCGAATTTGGAAACTCTGACAATTGTGAACACAAACTGAAGTTAATCTGATTTTTCAATGTTCATAATACATACTAATCATGCTAACCAATACTAGTTACTGTTGAAAAACGCAGAAAACGCAGAAAACGCAGAAAACGCGAAAACGCGGTCTAATAAAAAAAAAAAATTTACCAAATTTAATCTTTTTTTTTTATACGTTTTTGTGAAATCTACACTAACATATTTATTTTTATTAATACGCGTTTTTAGTTTAATTCATAAATGACGCGTTTTTTGTAAACGAACGCGTAAATTTAAACAACTTCTTTAGGGTACACCCCCATTTTACGATTAATGTTTGAAAGATATTTAAACCCTTCGTTTTGGTCGACTTTTCTCAAACAATTACGATATATCTTCTTCTAAATTTTACACAAATTTACATAATGTACAGTTCAATAAAAAATGTCTACAACTAACAATAACTCGATTTTCTTTTCGTCTCTTGATGATGTCTCTTTATCTCCTTTGAAACTTTCTAATCTTAACTCCCAAGGACGGACACAACCAAGGTCGTTCCCCGTTCTGCTGCAGCCTAAACTTCAAAGACCTACACTTTTTTCGTTATTGGGGTCAACAAAAAGCTGTCCAAGAAATTCCTTGATTCAAGAACTTGATTTTAGTTACGTATCTAATACGGCTCTAAAACCATATAGTGAACGTACTTCTGTCGTGATTGACCAAGCGTGGGCACGTACATCAGCAACACCGACTCCATACACGGACGAACACTTCACTGATAAAGGCGTGTGGAAAGCTCAAGTAACTCCTATATCACAACGTAATTTTGTTAGTCCTGTGTACCAACTTTTGGATAATACGTCTTCAGAGTCTTCGCCAGTTGAAAAACATTCTCCCGATATTAACAAAGAGTGTTTACATGATAATACTAATATTACACAAAAGCCAACTCCAGAGCGTAATAATGTTCTTTCTGTTCTTTCTGTTCTTTCTGAGAACCAGTTACACCAACAGCATTTGGATACAAATCAAGAATTAATACAAGCTCAACAACATTCTCCATTTATTAAATTTATTAAGCAATCGCGTACTCATACTAATATTTCACAAAGGTCATCTGGAATGGTAGAGCATAATATTATTATTCCTGAACATGACATAATACAAGAACATACACCGGCTCACCAACGCTCACCTTTTGTTATCAATAAAAAATGGTCACATAACTCTAATACTCTACAAGAACCTACTCCCATGGCTGAATGTCGTTATTCTGAGCAAGGATTTAACCGACTTTCTCACACACCTCAAGGCTCATCAGGTCGCTCTTCATTCGATACTGATCAAGGTTGGCCACAAATGTCACCTACAGAAGGTTATGCACAACTTCCTCCAATAATGATTCCTGATCGGGAGTTAGACCAACGAGCTTCCATCGTAATCCCAGAGCATGAAATTAACCAACAATCTAATATACAGCCTCGTATACAATGCCTCCTACAATCTTATTCACAAGCCGAATCAGCATCAACTACTCTTCTGACACTCAATCAACGTCTAAAACAAGAACAAGCAAATAAAGAGAATGAATTTGAAAGCAAAGAATTTGCATGTTCTGAATGTGATAAAATATACAAAGGAAAGAATGCGCGCTCAATTTTGCGTCGACATCTTAAAGATAAACACAAGATAGAACAACCAAGAGGCACACGCTGGGATAATGACCCAAATCGTCCTAAAACGGACGAAGAACGACGACAAAGAATGTTAGAGTCAAAGCGAAGGTAAATATATAATTTGTTATAACTTATTGGATAAACCTAATTTTATCGTTTATTTGTTTATAGATCTGCATTAAAGGCTCGTGAAAGGAAGAATAATCAAAGAGTCATGATGCAACAAACAAACAATAGTCAACCAGTATCACAACGAAGTGAACTTTACCCCGTTTCAAAGGCAGAACTCTCGTTAATTTTGTCCCCTCCACGAACACCAAGGAATTTGTGTTCATCGCCAGTACATTACAAAATTCAGTAGGAAATTCTCATGGGAAACTTTGCTTTTTATTTTGCAACTAGTAAAATGTTCGGTTGCGAGGAAAGGAAATTAATTTTGTTTACAAATTTATTTCCTTTTTTATGTACAATGTTTACAACTTTATTCTTTTGTTACAAGAAACATTTGTAAAAAAACTTTTAAAATTAATAATAATATAATAATAATAATAATAAAATACGTTAGGGATTAGTTATTCTCTTTCGAAAAAATTGTAAATTATTCCTAGAGATTTATTGAGCATGAGTATGAAGAATAATAATTAAGGAATAGATCAATAATCGTTATACTGACCGCATTCTAGTTCTGGCCTAGGTTATCTGACTAATTTCAGTAAAAAAACTTGCATAATTATATATTTAACATATTTATGTTTAATGTTTTTAATGGAAATATATATTCACACCTCGATATAATGACCTCTTGAGATATTTTGTTTTTTATCTCGCTAATTTTGGTTTCATCTCGGAAAAGTGGACTTAGGGATTCGCATATCATATGACCTAGGCTCCGCATACTTTCACGTTATATATCTGAAAAATTAATAGTATCTCGTCTCCAATTCGGCGAATTTATCTAACAATAGTTAAATTTTTAATAAAATATGCATAATTTATAATTAATTACGAATATTTTTTTATTTTCTAAAAGTTTAATTTTACTAGGGCCGCTAAAAGTCGAAAAAAAGTTATGTATATTATAGTCGAAAAAAAAAAAGAGGAAAAAGGAGGAAAATAATAAATGGTGACACAAATGACCATTTTTACCATTTTTAATAGTAAGGTAAACTAGTTTTAAGATTTAACAAAAGTCTAACCCTTAATTAAAAATGTTTAAACAATATCCAAGTCCAAAGTCTAAAGTCTAAACTGTAATAAATTAATAGCTAATAGAAAAACAAAAATATATTAAAGCAACTTTTTAAAACAAAAATTACAATAATATTAGCTAATAATACTTAAAAAGATAATCAAAAAAAATTTTTTAGTAAATTATATATCTTTCAATAAATAATAAAATATAAATTATTATACTATATAATTTATATAATAAAGTTTTGCATTTTGCTATATGTTTTGCAATTTTTTATTTTCAAATATTTTTAGCAAAACTGTTTAAATAGGTTTAATAGGACTCGGACATCTCTAAAACAGGTTATAAGTCACACTTTTAGCAAATTGGCCCATTTTTTAAAGGGCTCAAAAAATCATTTTTTGTAAATATCTTGGCATCCAGTGATCCAATTTTTTTAAAAAAAATTGTAGAGCTAAATGAGAGCTACAAAATAAAAAAATGTTCATCAAAATTGAATCACTGGATGCTGAAATATTTACAAAAAACAATTTTTTGAGTTTTAGCGAAAGTGGTGTTTTTGGCCAAAAGTCAGTTATGACCTTTATATTAGATGTCCAGGGTCCTGGTTTAATTTAAACAGTTACTGTATCTAAACTTGTAAATTTTATTTACAATCTTATTAATAAGGTATTATATAAAAATTATTGCAGTAGTTAAAATATTTAAAATATTTCTTTTTATTATTAAAATACAAATTTGCTTAATTGCTTTTAAGTTTTATAACAAATAGATAGATTAAAAATAAAGTTATATTTGAATATTTTATTTTATTATTCAATGCAAAGTAAAGAACTATATATATATTTAAAAAACTATACTAAATATATTACATAATGATATTTAATTATTTGTATATAAATTATATTATTGGAATTTTATGTTATATAAAAAATAAATAAAATAAAAATATATTAGATAAGATTTACTTATAGACATTTTTTTAGTAATATGAAATTTTAAAATTGAATTTTAAAACTAATAATTTTTATAAATTTTTTTTTAATGTAATTTAATACTTTATAATAATTTTTAAAAATAATTTCCAATAAAAAAAAATTTATAAATAAGAATTCTTTTCATTAATATTTATATTATATATGTAGCCAAAACCTTCTAAATATATATTTGAATCTAAAATCTAAAGCTCTAATCTGAAACTAATACCAAAACTTAAAACTTTAGTTATAATTATATATAAATTAAACCTATTTTTTACTATAAACTAAAAGTCTGAAATTATTTTTATTATGAACTATATCATGATGTTGAACTAATTAAAACCTTATGTTTACCAAATAGTAATATTTAATAAGTATTAAAATTTTATATTTATTAAGCAATAAATGCTTAATATATTAAATAAATACTAAATTTTAATATGACTTTTTCTATACACACCCCTACCATAAATTACCAGATTTTTTTACTATTTGTAGAATTTATGCGTAAAATTCAAAATTTTATATATATATGAAAAAATTTTTTCACTTAATAATTAAATATTTTTTTTTCTTAAAATAAAATATCAAATATGAAGTTTTATTATATAAAAAATTTAGACCAATAAAATTAATATTTAGTATGTCCACCTTTAGCCTTTATTACTGCCTTAATACGACTAGGTAAACTTAAAATTAGGTGGTGTAATGTTTCTATGCTTATTTTTCTCCATTTCTCCTGTACTACACTAATTAACTCCTGTTTAGATTTAGGCAAAGGCTTCCTTTTTTGTACCTGATGATCCAAATGGTCCCACAAGTTCTCAATCGGGTTTAGATCTGGGCTTTGCGCCACCCAGTCTAACATTGGAACATTATGCGTTCTCATCTACCAAATACTATAATTTGATGTATGACATGAAGCTCCATCTTGCTGAAATATGGAATCAGGGTAATTATTTACCCATGATATAAAGTGATTAGCTAAAACGTTGACGTAATCATCAGAATTCATGTTTCCATCAATCACAACCAAAGGTCCCACTCCATGCCAGCCAAAACAACCCCAAAACATCACTGAACCCCCTCCAAACTTAACTGTAGGTTGAATACAATCTTTATTGTAGGCTTCTCCAGGACTTCTCCACACTTTTACTCGACCATCTGATTCAAAAAGAGCAAATCTTAATTCGTCAGACCATACTACCTGTTTCAACTCATCTTCCCAATTTAATTTTTCTCTAGCCCATCTCAATCGATCTTTTCGTTGTTTTTCAGTTAAAAGAGGTTTCTTACATGTAAAATAACTGCTAATACCTACTCCATGAAGATATCTTCTGACTGTACTTTGATGCAAAGTTGTGTTAAGGCTGGAGTTTAATCTGTTTGTTATATCACCTAGAGGAGAAAACCGATCAGTACGAACAATACGTCGTAGAACTTGTGTATCACGTTGAGTTAAAATTTTTGGCCACCCAGAACGTTTCTCAGGTATTGCAGAGCCCGTTTCTTTATATCTTTTGATAGTATCACTTACTGTACTGGTAGGTATATCAAGCTGAGTGGAAATAATTTTTTGTTTGACGCCACTCAAATAAGCACCAATAATTCACTCACGTTTAGTTGCTGACAGTTCGTTTCCACGCATTTAAGACTAGAAGAGTAACAAAAACATTTTTTTTTTTATTTCTTTGTTTATATGTGTGATAGGGAGAAATCGCAGATTGTGACACTGATGTGCTGATTCACGTGACAAAAATCCGGTAATTTATGGTAGGGGTGTGTATGTATACTAGTGTGCGAAATATATATGGATCACGTGTTTATCAGCATAGCAGACATCCCCAATTTTGCTGATCATTTGCTGATCATTTATCAATCATTTATTCAATTATATCATATAATAAATGCCGTTATTGAAAATTTTACATAATAATATATGCTTAAAATTTACAAAAAACTTAAACTTGGTTATAATTTGTTGTATATTAAATTTATTTGAATTGGATTGTTATTGAGTGATTTTTATTAGTAGCAACTTTTTAACTTTTATTATTTTAAATTTTAATAAAAATAATTAGTAGTTAGTAGCATATATTTTATGGTATTATTTATTAAATTTTGTGATTTATTTAATTTCATGGCATTAATTTACTTAATTTCGTGGCATTAATTTCATGGTATTTACTTAATTTTGTGACACTGATTTATTTGATATTTATTTATTTATTTTGCAAAATTATTCGTTAAATACCTTACTAATAAAAAATCTGTTTAATGAAACGTATTACTGTTTTATTTTTACTATATATTATATATAAGATAAAGAATATTTGTGCAAAGTTTCAAGTTTTGCCCATGCATATTCACTTTCGTCTATCAATTTTTGTCTAATGATCCACAAAAATGACTGAATTATCACATACAAAAAATGCGTTATTGTAATATAAAAAATTATACTAATAATTACATAATTGAAATTATATGATAATTAGTACTTATCTTGGATTTCCATTATTTTTTTGCCACATTATTTATTTTAAAATTATTTATGGCTTTTCAACAAGTTTTTAAAATCTGGAATTATATGATCAGCAAATGATCGGTAAGGTGATATAAGCATGTTCGCTATGCTATGTTTATCATACTTTTTTTTGGTGATCTGCAAAAAAATTCCTTTTTTTGGAATTTTGTGTAATGAATTTTCATTTTTACCTAAGAATAAAAATGCCTTTTTTTGGGTTGTGTAATGTTATTCTAATTTCTAAAAAATGGAAATTCTAGTAAATTTTGGCTGGAATTATAAATTTGGCCGAAATTATGGGAAGCGACATATAATATGTGACAAATAAGGTTTTTTTTACTGAAAAAATTCTAAGTCCCTAGAATAAATAGTAAAAATGGAAAACTAAAAGGGTGTGACACGGGTGACAAATTAATGTTATGTAACCTGTATTTCGCACACTAGTGTATTTTAAGAAATTTTCTTTTAATATTTATTAATCATTTAATTTTTTAAGTATTTTAAATAAATATTTAAATTAATTTAAAACTAAAAAGAGCTATTCACAAAAAGCATTATATAAAGTTATAGTAAAAAAATGAAGTGTTAATAAGGTTTGCAATTTCTATTTATTCTATTAATTTTTTTTTTTTTAACTGCAATATATTTGAATATTTTATTTTAGATCAAAAAAATAAATTTGATATATATATATATATGAAAAAAGAACTAATCTAATTTATTAAGTACTAAACCATCTATTAATTCATGATGAAGCAATCATGTATATACTGTCAATTAAAATACAAGTAAGTCTTTCTTAAAGAAGTTCTTTCTTAGAAAAGAAATCCTCCTTCTAGTCTACATCT